GTAGTTTTTAAACAAAAGCTTCTCCAATGATGACAGAGATACTGTAATGGTTAGGAGCAGGCATTTGGGGGGGGGGGAGGTCAGACTGGATTCAAGTCCAGCTTGCTCAGTCTCTCTCTCTTACAGCAGGTAACGAGGATGCTTTGAAATCAACTACCTGGTGTGCAGGAGATGGGCACCCCAAGGCCACTCCCTCCCCTTGGGTTCATCAAGGGGAATCCAGGTCTTTCCAAACCTAGTAATGCTCAGCTGGCCCAGGATCCCGCTGTCCGCTGGGCCAGGGGCAGCAGTTTGGTGTAGTCATGGAAGAGCCCTGGGTTAGATGGCAAAGCCCAGGGTTCGACTCCCTGCCACACCGTTGATGGAGAACTGGCTGGTTCAACTCCAGCTCTCCCTCCCACTTCCGCCCAACCTTCCTGAATTGAAGAAGCTAAACTCCCGGATTCCTCTCAGCCAGGGTCTGGTGCTCTTCCAGCTGCCAGGCAGCTGCAGTCACTAGAGACCTGCATTTGCTACTAAGTGAGAAGAAGGATGGGGGTCAGGCAGGGAGCATCCGACCTGCCTGTGGGACCCCAGCAGAGGTGTCATCTCTATGGGAATCAGACCCGCCCGTTGTGGGAGGAGCTTGGGGAGTTCTGCTCAGGGGAGTGGAAGGCCATCTGATGAGGCTCAGCCGCACATCCAGCCACTGGGGCCTGGGATTCTGCAGCCTCCGGGGCAGCCAGGACTGGGAGACCTAGACATAGCCTGGGGAGCCTGCTGCCAGCTCTGCAGCTGAGGACTGTCACCAGATCTAATCACAGCGACCAGAGGCCGCTGCTTCCCTTCCGCCTTCGAAGCCTCCTCGTTGGTCACCCGACGGGGCGGCACTGCAGGAGGGAGACCCCGGGGCTCCCACCAGCCTGGCAGACAGTGCTGACCTGACATCAGTGCCTCCCCTGCCACTGGCGGCGTGGATCCTGCTCCCTACAACCGCCAGAGACCTCAGACCCGCAGGTCAGCCGTCCTGGCTCCATCAACGCGAGTCCTCTGGTTGGCACAACTTCCACCTACGGAGGTCGCAGAGCAGAAGCGGGATCTCACCTTCCCAGCCGTCCTCGCCGTCCTCGCCGTCCTCGCCGTCAGAAAGTAGGAAGCCCAGCTGATTCCCACCACACCAGTGCACAGTAGGATGACCACACTGGCAAATTTGTGTGTTTTATCACAATTTCAATTAATAATGTAAAATGCCTCCATATCAGCCGGGCGCGGTGGCACCGGCCTGTAATCCCAGCGGCTCAGGGGGCTGAGGCAGGAGGATCATGAGTTCAAAGCCAGCCTCAACAACAGCAAGGTGCTGAGCAACTTGGTGAGACCCTGTCTCTAAATACCAAATAGGGCTGGGATGTGGCCCAGTGGTCAGTGCCCCTGAGCTCAACCCCCAGTAACCCCCACTGATGCCTCCATATCATTTTATAATTTAAATGAGTGAATTAAACACAATAAAATGTTTAGAAAAACAAACCAACCCCTGTGCCAGCTTCCTGCCCTCTTTGGGGCACAAGGGCCCAACACATTCCCACGGCAGCCCGCACCCTCCCACTGCGCCCTCACCCACACCCCACCCCAATTCCTCCTCCCCCCGTCTCACGGGCCTGCCTTTGCCTCCTGAAAAATGGGGGGCCCACCTCAGGGCTCGTAGGTTTGTTTTTCTTTCCACCTGGATGCTCTTCAGCCAGGTCAGTGGCTCTCAACACTCGCTGCCCCTCAGGGTCATCTGAGCAGATCTCAGAAGGCCCCCGTCAAAAGACACCGTGAAAAGGGCCGAGGTCCTTGGGTGGTTTCTTCCCAGTGAGAATTCTGGCTCAATGGAAGCCAAGACGGCACTTGTTTTGTTCTCCACCGTGTCCCCAGTGCTTGCCTCAATAAGCAGCTGTGGCCAGAAGGGACACTTCCCATTCCAGTAGTCCCATCACTCGTTTCTGTGGCTGCAGTTCCACAAGTGGCCACCAGGTGGCAAGAGTCAACTACATTAAAAAGTCACCTCTAGACTCTCCAGGCTGGTGGTCCCTGCGGGTCCCTAGGAGGAAGCAGCAAGGTCCTGGCAGCCTCTTCCGGGCTCACCATACCCCATCACGTCTTCACAGAGTGAGACGTTAGGTGGACCCAGATGAAAGTTACAGGACCTCCGGCCCTGCCCCCTCTCCACCACGCACTGACCCTCTGGTGCAGCTGCCCGGGGCAAGACTCCACGGTACCCCCACTGTGACAGGTGCACACACGCTCCTGCTGCGGGTCTGTGTGCACACGCCGCCCTCAAAGAACCGCAGATGCCCTGGAACTGTACCAACAAGGAACCACAGTCAAGGTTTTAGATAAAAGGGCAGGACAGACACTACCATTTGTAAGAAAGGGGAAAGATGTCACTCCAACGAAGCCTTCTTGCTGTCCATCAAGCCCATGAAGCTCACAGGTGCCCCGGTCCCTTTGCACTTCCTGGTCCCTCTGTCTGGACCATTTCCTCACCTACTTGATCTCCCACAGCCAGCTCTTCATTCATAGCTCAAACATCCCCTCTGCAAAGAGGATGCCAGATGGTTCCAACTGGGAAGTCACCTGTGCCTCTTGGTCCTCCTCTACACCATCCCCCTTGGTTCCTTGACAATACCAGCCATTCTCTGCTTTTTCAGGGCCCATAAGTAGAAAATGTTCCCATTTTTAGGTGGTTGGGGAAAAAATATTTTGCAATAAACTGAAACTCAAATGTCGGTCTATGGCACTTTATGGTTTTTGCCACGTTCACTTACGGTCCCCTTTGGCTGCTTTTGCCACAAAGCCTGACACTCTGACCCTTGGTGGACTTGAGGATCCTGCCTGCATGGATTCACTCCGTTACCTTCCTGCGAGCCCAAGGGAGGAGCCCACAGGCCCATGCTCCCTCCTCTACTCCAGTTGCTGAAATCCCAGCACCTAGCAGGACCCCTGGGAATTGCTGCCCCATGACTGGAAGACTGACTGGTTGTCACCCCAAGGGAATGCAAGCTTGGCAAGGGGGGGGGGGACATCCCACCTCCCATCCCAGTGCTGGGGCCGTGCACACATTTGCAGACCACTCAGGAACTGACACCACGCGCACCTTCAAACGGGGGCCTTGGCAGGAGGGTTGCTGGGGTAGAGATCTGGGGACCACTGGCCAGAGCAAAAACGGACCCTGCTGCCCAGAAGACCAAGTAGCCTCAAGCTCTCCAGACTCTGCCCTCTCCCAGGCTTGGAGCATCAAGGCCAGCACAGCCCACGGACGTCCGGGTGGCTCAGGTCTCCTAGGCCACAGAAGTCGGTGGCTCCCTACTGCCCCACGCCTTCCTGCAACACGCCTTCCTGCAACACCCCGGGTGCTAGCCAGGGCCACTAGTGTCAGGTGCCGCCCTGTGGGGGGTGCTGGCCTCTCAGGGCCCCTCCTCCTGTGTTTGGCTGTAAACATAGACAGCCATCCCCACCACCGGGAAAACTGCAAATTCTGCAAATTCGAGGACGACCAAGCCATTTTGCCAAAACAGTTTAATAAAAAAAAAAAAGTGAAGAATCTGAAAAACCGGGGAGGGAGGGGGGAAGGGGGGGGGGGAAGGGGGGAGGGGGGGGGGAGGGGAGAGGGAGGGAGGAGGAGGGGGAGGGAGGGAGGGAAGGAGGGAAGGAGGGAAGGAGGGAGGGAAGGAGGGAGGGAGGGGGGGAAGGGGGGGAGGGGGGAGGGGGGGGGGGAGGGGGGGAGGGGAGGGAGGCAAGGAGGGATGGAACCCAAGACCACACCGTGCGACTCCACGGGCTCAGTCACAAAGAAACACCATCTTCAAAAAAGATATTTAAGTTTAATACAAATTTTATACAAAGAAAATGTGAAAAAATACTTCCATATGCTAAAAGCAATTATGCTTCACAAATAAGGCCAGCTAGGCTATTTTTTTTTTTTTTTTTTGACAACTGCAATTCACAAATGTTCTTTCTCTCCTGCTTTCTTCTAATATCTGTTCTTCTTTCTTCTCTAATGTGGGTGGCTAGCTGGAAGCCATACAGCCAGCATCCTCTTATCAACAATGAAGAGAAAGTAAACGAGACTAAAATGTACAACAGAATGTACTGGAATGATATCGTACAATTAATATTCTCATATACATACATCACCTTTTGCTTTGATCAATGCTTTTTGTTTTACACAACATACAAAATGGTACTACAGCTTACGTAGTGTAACAGACAGCATGACGGTCTTGCTTTCTCATACTGCCACTGTTTCATGCTTACATAAAAACGCAGAGCTCCATCATATAAATAATACACACATGCTTCCTCCGACGCACGCTCCTCGGTGTGCATCTGCCTTTGAGTTCCTGCTTCTGAGAAGCACAGCATCTCCTCCCGTGGGTGTGTGAGTGTTCAAAGGAACCACAAACAAGAAAAGGTTTCTCTTTGCTGCCGAGTTGGTGACGAGCTGGGCAGGGCTCACTAGCCTCCGAGCATCTTCTGTAAACAGGATGTTGATTTTCCCTTTTAGGAGCCACCACTTACACCACACAGAATAAAGGGCCCCTCCCCACGGCTCCCGGTCTGCAGAGCCTGCGAGGCAGGACACAGTGACGTAGGCATCCGCAAGGGGCCACCGGCGTGGCGTGCTGTGGACAGACGCAGGACAACGCTGGCTTCCCCGGGTGCCGAGGGTGAGGCTGTGCAGCAGCAAGCCCAGGCCCAGCCCAGGCCCGGCCCAGGACTGCTGTGCCCACCGGGCGGGCCCAGGAGCGCGTGCCCCGAGGGCGGGCTGCCCGTCCGTCCGCCTCCGCAGCCAACATTCCTTTCGTTGTTGGGTGTCTTTTTTTTTTTTTAACTTGTTTTTCTTTTTTTATAAGTTAAAGTCGATACAAATATAAAAAGGGAAGGTGCTCTAGTTCAGTGACATCCACAAATTGTACATTATTTACACCTACAGCAGCGGCCCCCTCCCGCGGGCCTCGGCGAGGGCCTGGACGCGGCCGCGTGGGGGCTGCCCGCGGCGCCCGCGGCCCTCCCGAGCCCGAAGGGGTCCTTCTCCGTCTCCGCCGTTTCCCATTTCCCTGGCGTCCGCGGTCCTCCCCCGTGGGACGGGCGGTCTGGTCACAGCTTGCCCCTAGTCCCAGAAGGCGTCGAGCCGAGACTCTTTCGGGATGAGGCTCTTGGCGCTGGAGCCGGCGCCGAGCTCGGAGCGGGCCGACCCTCGCTTCTCTTCGCCGCCGCCCCAGCAACTGGACTTGCTGCTCCGGGAATGGTCTGCGGAGGGAAGGCACCGGTCAGCGCCCCGGCCCGCTCCGCCGGCCACGCGCTCTCCTAGCCAGGGAGCCACCTTCTCCTCCCCACCCCGTACGCCATGGACGGTCCAATTCCCGCCACGTCCATCTCCCCCAATCTGTGGCTCTCTAGAATACAGAGGTGGAACTTAGGACCTCTAGCTTAGGATTTTCAGGACTTAACCCAGCTGGCTGCAAATCAGCAGGGTGTCAAGGATGAAGATGACTGGGACAGGGCTCAGTCACCCAGGAAGGATCTCCTGAGCCAGACCTGTACCCTCACTACGCCCCGGGCACCCCTGCGTCCAGGCTCAGCCAGGGAGGCAGGCCCTGGGGACTGGCGGGCAGGGTACGTCCACCCACCGCGGTCCTCGAACCAATCTAGAGGCAACTTGAAAAATAAGACCCATAACCAAATCACAAGTGTCCACCCCAGGGGGAGGATCATAAAAAAGGGACAACCGTGGACCAGAGGGCTAAGCCCACCTGGACGCACAGGCCCAATGGGGGGTCTAAAAAGGATGCAGAACCACAGCAAGACCTAGGATGGCTTCAAGGACACATAGACACAGCACTAGGAAGGAAGCTGAGTGACAAGTGGTGACAGAAGAGTCGGAGAGGAGCCAGTGAGGGCCCTCCTCCAGCAGTCCAGCTCTGCAGGCTCCGCGGCCAGCAGCCAGCTCCCGCGGTGCCTCGGGTCACTTACAAAGTTACTAAGTTCAGACAGATTTTTTTTTTTAAAGCATTCTTGAGGTGAGGGTAGGACACTGGGCTGGAAGGGGTCATGGATCAAGCTTAGAGGCAGAATCGGGTGGCTGAGGAAGGGACCCTACTATTACCTAACGGGGCTGCAATTCTTACTGCCCAGCAAGAGGCACATGAGGTAAGTCGGGAGCTCTGTCTCTGGAAGACGAGGGTCGGATCGCAGCGAGTGTCACCAGGAGAGAACTTATTGGCAACTTGTATGGCCGGCCAGAAGGGGGCAGTGTTGTGGCGGACAGAAACGGGGCTGGGGGTGGAGCCTTGATCTTCTGGCCCCTCCCCTCTAGGCATCCCTGCACTTGGAGCTCTTCTGGAGTGTCCCTAAGGGGTGACGCTGCTGGTCATCACTACACATGAGAAAAGTCCCACAAGGCAGTCACCCTTGCGGCTCTGGTGACAACTGGGACCAGCTGGGGTCCTGGAAGACCCGGGGCAGCGGGCCGGGCGCAGCCAGGCCACACAGTCTGGCGGAGGGGGCAGAGGGAGTGGGAACGCGGTGGACTCGTCCCACCGGCCAGGGAGAGCTGGTGTCTTGGGATCAGATGGAGGCTGACCCTCCAGAAGCCCAGCCCAGCCGGCTCTCACCCTGAAGCAGCGGGCAGTGGCCTCGAGTGGCGCCCCTAAGAAGAAAGTTGCAGAGCGAGGGGAGCCCACGCGACAGGACAGGAGGACACGGCCACAGAGAAACACGGACACACACAGGACGAGGCTTGGCGAGCCGAGCTGGCCGCGGCTGGACAGGGTCATACTTACACTTCTGGGCAGGGTAGTTGGGGTGCGGCTGGTGGTCTGTGGTGGTTGGGGTAGAGGCAGGCTGCTTGTCACACCTTTTGCTAACTGAAGAGATACCAAGGCAGCTCAGAGTCCGTCCCGGGCCAGTTTGGCACAACCCCGAGGGCGCTAGCTCCGGAACCCGCTGGCACCCCGCGCTCCCACCCGGGGCACCGCGGGCCACTGCGGCCTTCAAACACGTGATCAAACCCCAACAGGACCACTGCACACAGCACACGCCACAGGTGGGGGACAAGGCGCCCGGTAACGGAAAGCCACCGGCACTTGATAAGCCCCAGGGTGTCAGGATTTTGAAAGCAAAATCCTCAAAACCTCTGCTAACTGCCTAATCCAACAAGAAGACAGGCAGGCGCTGGACGCCAAGGGAGGAAGGTAGCATCTGGGTCAATGAAGACAGTGGTGACCCGGCCAGGCGCAGGGAGAGGACAGAGGGCACTGGGGGCAGGGGGCAGGGCTGCAGAGGGGCGAGGGCCACTCCTCGCCCACAAATCAAACCTGCAGCTGAAAGAGGCGAAGAGTGGAAGAAAAGGGTCTCAGGGAAATAGCTGGAGTGGTCAGGAGTTTGGTGGAAAAAACTGAAAATAAGATTTGGGGGTGGGGGGACTCCAGGGGCAAGGAAGCCTGAGAAGGACAGGGACCACAGCAGACCAGGGACTCCGCGATGACCCCACCACCCCAGTCCTGCAGGTGGCCACTGTCCCTTCACCTTTGCAGACTCAGATGGACAAAAGGAGACTTGACCACGGTTACAGAGCAGATGCTCCGGTCCCCAAAAGGGTATGACCGGAAGGACAGGGAAGGAGATGGGGGTCAAGTGGGGTCGGTGCCTCCAGCAGCAGCACAAGAAGAGGGGGTGTTGAGGACTTGGCCTGCAAGGTAGCCCCAAGTAGTAGCCTAGGTGACACTGGAGGAGGAAGTCACAAGAGGACCTCACCCTTGCCTTTTGTCTAAAAATCAAATCAAGAAATGGAGGTACAGGAGAGGATGCTAATAAGAACCAGAAACAGCAGGAGATGGCTGGAGAGAGACCCCCGTTCTAGTTCCTATTCTCCTCTGTCGGCCCAAGCAGCTGCTTTAGGTAAAATCTTTTTTTTTTTTTTTTTTTGGTATTGAGAGACATGGTCTCACTAAGTTGCTGAAGCTGTCCTTGAACTTGTGATCCTCCTGCCTCATCCTTCCAAGTCACTGGGATTACAGGCATACGCCACAGCACCAGGCTCGGGTACGTCTTAAAGATGAACAGGAGAGGGGCTGGGGTCGTGGCTTAGCGGTAGAGCGCTCGCCTAGCATGCGTGAGGCACTGGGTTCGATCCTCAGCACCACATAAAAATTACTGTGTCCACCTACAACTAAAAAATATATATTTAATTAAAAAAAAAAAAAAGATGAACAGGGGAGGCCTATGCCACCTACCAAGGGGGCTCACACCCCTACTTAAACCTCTCCTTCCACACGGACGCCTCAGTCCCTCCCGGCACAGGTACTGGAGACAGCTCAGGTGCCCCCTGCACGGTCCACCTCCTGCACATCTCCCATGCACTGACCAGCTAGCCAGATGGGTGAGGGGGCTGGAGATGAGAGTCTTGCTGCTCTGATACAACTCCTCAGCACACGTGGCTTTGGGAAGAAATGAGAGCACTCAGGTCTGCAATCCCACGGGGCCACGGCCCGTGGCCCTGCTGCTCAACACGCAGACGTCACCAGTGCCCTGGCGCCAAGTACTCCTGTCCTTCCATTTTGATGATGAACCCTCTGGTTGGTACTTCTCCTCTGCCAAAATACCTTTTTTTAATTTTAAAATTTAAAAAAAAAAAATTGGGGGGTGCGGGTGTTGGTGGGGCTGGGGACAGAACCCAGGTCCTCATGCATACAGGGCAAGTGCTCCACAGTGGAGCCACACCCCAGCCCTGCTGCCCCTGCCCAGTCTCTTTCCAAGCCATAAAACGGGGGACCATGTCTCCTTCAGTGTAGTCCCAATCTTCACAAAAAACACCTGGGCGAAGGCCCCTTTAGACATGGAAGTCCTATGAGTCACACCATGATCAAGTGTCTGAGCCACACCCCCAGCCCTTTTCTATTTTGAGACTGGGTTTCACTAAGTTGCTTAGGGCCTTGCTAAGTTTTGAAGCTGGCCTTGAACTTGTGATCCTCCTGCCTCAGCCTCCGGAGTTGCTGGGATTACAGGTGTGGATCACTGCACCTGGCAGAGCTACTGTTAAGTCAACTAAAGTAAAATATGAAGCTCCACTTCTGGTCACAGCTGGAGGGTTCCACAGCCACAGGTGGTTAGTGGCCACCAGTGTGCACAGTGCAGATATAAGACCTTTAGGGTACAACATTCCATTGGCAACGCGGGCGGTGGAGGAGGGAGCACCGAGAGAGAAGCGGATTTAAACACCCAGGGAAGGAGGCAGCTGAGCAGAGAATATGGCTATGACAAAGGACAGGAAGCAAGAAGCAGTCAGACGGTAAAGATGGCCAGGAGGGAAAGGCAGAGCGTGTCCCCCATGTCACATGGAGGGCAGCAGGAAGGACAGGTGGAGTCTGAGACGGAGCAGGGAATGACGTCACCTCTGCAGGGCAGAATGGGGGCTGGTGAAAGGGGTTTGGAGGGAGGATGAGGCGGCTGAGGAGCTGTGCTTCTGAGGCCAGCGATAAGATTAAAGGAGCCACGGGACAGATCTGAGGTCCTGGGGAACTTCCTCCAGCTGCGCCGAGGCTCGGGTGCAGGTGAGGAGTCACGCTGCCGAGCTGAGAAAACAGGAAGGCCGGGGCGCCCGGGGCCTGTGAGCAAGACTGCGGCCCAGGGCTGGGCCCGGACACCAGGCCACACAGGCCACGCAGGCCACGCAGGAGGAAGGAGTGGGGGAGCGGGAGGAGGCGCACACCAAGACCAGGGCCACGTCTGCGGCCCCTGTGACCGAGCCCCACGCGCCACGACACAACCACTTCTGACTTCCAACAGCAGTGCTTTGGTCTGGGTCCCGTGGGTGAAGCTCGGGTCTGGGGTCACCCACGTCCTGGCTCGGCAAACACTCTCCAAGTGACTCGGGCCTCCGGGTCGGCTTCTCTGGGCTTCTCCCCCAGGCACTGGGCGTGACCAGGAGTGCAAGTGCCTCCTGTCCTTCAGGAAGCACCAGGGAGCACACTCTGCCACCCTGGACACGCCAGAGAAGGGCCTTTACCTGCCTGGCTTAGGTCCCCCACTGGCAGCAGCCACAGGCTCCCAAGTGACCGTCCTTTCACTTCCCCAGATACCAAGGTGCTTCACCCCCACACCCCCACGCCATACACCCCCCCACACCCTCACATTGGTTCCGTGGCATCTTAGGCCTGCTACCCCGGCTGAGCGAAGCAAATGGACAGAGACCACGGAGCCTGCATTTACTCTCTGACCACCTACAAAAAGGCCCTCCAGCCCTGACCACTCTCCTGGCCACCGTGCCACATGCAATCCTTATTCTGGCAGATCCCACACACACAGCGTCACGAGTCTTCCCCGGGCCACCTCCGTCAGCACCTCGCAGCTGCAGAACCTCTGAACGGCACCGGCCGTGGGCAGCAGCACTCTCCAGCCTGGCCCTCCTCACGCGCCTCCTCGCTCTGACACACCCACAGTCCCCTCACAGGCTGCTCAGTTCCTGTTTTAAGCTCACTTTTTTCAACTTCAATTCCAAAAGAAGCTTTTATCATTGCAACTCGTTCAAATGACCGTCAGGAAAGCCAAGCTGCAGGGCGATATTCTGGGGCTACCACGCCACTAGACCTGAAGTCGCTTTGGCTCTGTTCTGAAACAGATCTGAGATGCCGTGGCATCTTAGTGCCACGCTGTGGCGTGACTGGAGGTTCCATCTGGGGACTACAAGGGAGCATGAAGGGCGGTGATTTTTTTTTTTTTTAATATTTTTTAGTTGTTGATGGGCCTTTATTTTATTTATACGCGGTGCTGAGAATCGAACCCAGGGCCTCACACATGCCAGGCAAGCGTTCTACCACTGAGCCACGATCCCTGCCCGAGGGCTGGTGCTTTTTTGACGGCACTTCAATCAAATCCAAGGCCAAGTTCACATCCTCCCTAGATTCACTCCTGCCACTCCACCATCTCCATCATCCAGTTCCCACCGGCCCCTCCAGGCCTGGCCTCTGGGGAACCTTGCCCACCTGACCACAGACACTGCTTCCTCTAAGCGCTCGGTGTGCACAAGTGACATTAAGTTTTTGGTCTCCAGCTGAAGAGAACCAGCAGGCAAAAAGGCCCTGGAGGAAAGGTTATAGGCAAGAACACTGAATTCAGCAAGACGGTCCTCAACAAGCAAGGCCTGGGCCTGAACCCACCTGCAGTGACCAGAACTGGTTTAGGAAAGTGCGGGGGAAAGACCACGGGGCTGAGAAAGAAGGGCGGCCCGAACCCCAGGAAAGAAATCCGCACATCTCAGAAAAGCCCCCAAACAGCCTGCCAGAGGGAAGGGTGGTCCAGAAACACCGCCCACCTCCACACTGTCTTCACCTCCCTGAAGGCCCAAGGACCCTCAGGAGCTGACTTTACGGGGCTTTGCTTACCCTGGCATTTCCCAGGGCAGGACCCTGTGTCCAAATAGTGTCACGTGGGCCCCGGTAAACAAAACACAGGTAAATCCTGGCCAGTGCGGAGAAGTGTGGGGAAACTGCCTCGCCCAGCCACACCCTCACCCCACAAGCCCGCCCAGCTGAGGCACCCCAAAGATCCCTAACAGCTTGAAAACCACTGCCCTAACCCTGGGCTCCCTGACAAGATGGCTCCCAACCTGCCCCCATGAAATGAAAGCGCCATTCGCCCACCAGGGGGCGACATACCAGAGCCTTGGTTGGAGCCTAAGAGAATGGAGGAGGGCGTCTCTCTGGAGCCAGAAAGGTCGAGGGTCTAGAAATACAAAGAAAGATGGACTCAGGGCACTGGGGCCAACGGAGCCCCCCAGGGAAACCCAGGGAGTCCTGGGAGTGCTCACTGCTCCCCCAGGGCATCTCGGTGCCCTCCACCTGGCGTGGTCCGCGGGGCCGAGTCGGACAGGTGTGCACACACCTGTGCTCTGGCTCCCAGACTCCTGCGGCGCGGGGGTGGCCCCTCCCTAGCACTCCAGTCTGAGCTTGAGAACCTTCCCTGTGGCCTGCACCCGATGGCTGACCGACCCAACACCCGCACAGTCTGTTGCACCACAGAAGGAGAAATGGATCCGTTCACTCTGGAAGCCTCTTGTGAGGCAGTACCATCCCTGAGACCAGGGTCTCGACTGATAATCTGATGATGACGGCCAAAGTCCACAATGACTACAGACATAAAAGATGATCCGTGTGCCCCCTAAGATCGATGTCACGGGTACAGCCCAAGGGGAGATGAGCGGGTGTGACCTTCATGGTCCAATATGGCAGCACCAGCCAGATGTGGCTACTTGCATCTAAGTGAACTAAGGTCAAGTTTACAAATCTGATGCTTGGTCTCGTTCGCCATCCCGAGTACTCCACAGCCGCAGGGGCTACGGGCAGCCACAGTGGGTGGGATCCTCCCCACCACAGAGTTCTCCTGGACGCGCTGCTCTAAACTGGGAGGGTCCCGAGAGCAGCTGCCAGGTCCTGCACGGGACGACTCAGCCTCGCCTTCTGGCCCCTGTCATCTGACTGTTCCAGACAGACCCAGACAGCATGGGACTTTGGTGGGTGGGACACACAAGGGCAAGGGTCCTTGACACAGAGGGTGGGCGGCACTGGCCAAGGCACAGGGGGGTCCTCACCGAGCCGCTATCCTTGCTCTTCTCAGCTGACGGCTCCTTCTCTTTGGAGGCGCTGGTCGTGTCCGAGGCGGCTGGCTGGGCGCTGGAGGAGCCCCCCTGGGAGGGCTTGTTCCCAGTCTCTGTGTTCACCTCGGCGTCCGCTTCCTGCTGAGGGGCGGTGGCTGGGGACAAAGGGGACAGAGGGAAGCCATGGGAAGCCAAGCACAAGGGTTTCAGGCCCCGCGTGGAGCCCACTCCGCGCCCCATGGCGCCAGCGGCCAGGCCCCACCCAGGGTCCAGTGCAGACCCAGGGAGGCCAGGCACCCAGAGGTCTCCGAGTCGGGTTCTGTGAGAGCGCCTTGGCTTTCTAATACTCAGCGATTCAATAAGTCATTCTGGAAGGGAAAGCGTGTTCTCGGAGCTAATGACCCCCGTCCACAAGAGCCCGCCATGACTTAGAGGCTGGTCCACCACAGCCCTGGACACTTGTTTTTGTCTGAGGCAGGTGGGAAAGGCCCGTCAGAGAGCACAGAGCTTCTGGAGACGGTGGGAACAGTGGGCGTCAGACAGTGACGCATATAAACCAGGCTTCACCACGCCCAGAGAGCCGCAGGGCCCGCACGGGGCACCTCGCACACTCCAGACACCAGCGGAGTGCCACGCCACGGCAGCAGGAGTCTAAAGACTGCGAGAAGACACCTCCCGTGGACGGCGACAGGAAGTGAGTCGGCCACCGGTTCTGACGAATGACATCTTGTTGGCACACAGCCAGATTCTGCCTACAAAGCCTCAGATATTCACTAGGGCCTTCAGGTCCGCCGGCCCTGGACTGCCGTTTCTCGAGTTTGAATCACTCACACACACGCCAGCTCTGCAAATTTTGCTACAACATACGACCTTGTGTTTTTTATATAATGTTTTCAGTGAATTCTTTTAAATGGAGACTTTTGGGGGTGGGGGAAGTGCTCTGGATGGCACCCAGGGTGCTCTACCACAAGCGGCACCCCAGCCCAAGACTTTCAATTCCAACCCCATAAAGCTAGAGGCCTTTGCCACAAAAGCTAGCTCTAAAAATTAACTTCTGAAGCGTCACTGATAAACCCCAAGGAGGCAGTCCTCTCTGCTGCGGCCTCAGCAACACAGGCCGCACACCTACACCCGGGCCTCCACGTAAGAATCCCCGTTATTTAGAGATGTGGGTCTATTCTCACCCCCAAAACAGGATCGACCCGAGTGCTGCTGACATGGGGGCCGGCCCGCTCTGTCTTGGGGCTGCCCTGTGCCCCGCCCTGAGAGAAGATCAAAAGCCCCGCACACGAGTCGGCACACGAGTCGGCAGCCAGGCGCCCGTGATGGGCTCCGTCTGGGCGCCACGCTCATCAGCCGGCCGCCCTCGCCGCGGGGTCCCCAGGAGCCCAGGCCCCTGCCCTGCCGCCCGGGGTGCGCGCTACCTGACTGGGTGCAGGACTTCATGTGCTCGGGCCAGTGGGCCTGCTGGCAGGGGTAGTCGCAGTAGCTGGTGTTCCAGCAGCAGTAGAAGATGGCCTCCTTCCTGCAGTGGGCGCACCACTGCTTCTTCTTGGTCTCGTCCACCGCCTGCTGCTTCTCCAGCTCCAGCTGCTTCTTCACCTCGGCAAGGAGCCGGTCGCGCTCCTGCTCCAGGCTCTGCCGCATCTCAGCCATGGTCAGCTCTGGGGGAGGGGCGGGGGCGCAGGCTGCATCACTGACCCCGGCCGGGCACGGGGTGGCTGCACCCCCACACTCAGACAGGCAGGGGTGTAAACCCCGACTTGGAAAGGCCCCCACCAGCTGGGTGTCTCTGGGCCCATAACACAGCCTCTCTGAGCCCAATCGTCACCTGTTAACAGGGAATCCGCCATTCGGGCCTACGGAGCCACAGGCGACAGTGTCCGTGAGGTCCCCAGTATGGAGACAAGAGGAGACCCATGGTGATTCTTCAACCCCACAGGACGTCACAGGAATTCCTCAAACCGACCCTTCAAGTGATCATCAGCATATACTTTGTTTCCCTATCAAACACTGACACAGCTTCCACTATCTGCAGGTGTGGCTCGAGGCACTTAATTAATATGTGGAACCCTTCTAATAATTCTGAGGGCTAAGGACTACCATTCTGCTCCTCTCCCAGAGGGGGAAACGGGGTGGAGCAGGGCCTGGGACTCAGGGGTGTGTCTTGTGGCCCTAGATCCAAGGCACCCGAGGAACTCTGGGGCTGATCACTGTGCTAAGGACAAGTGTCAGGTCACCCAGCAATGAGAGTTCTCTAGGTTTACATCAGGCAGTCAAGACCAGTTATTTCAGAAAATAAGTCCACTTGCAGATCATTTGCAAGTGACCTGGGTAGAAATAAAGGAAAATGAATCATTGTTCAATTCCCGAAATACTCTTTCTGAAATTTAAAAAAATTTTCAGAAAAATTAATCCCTTATAAGGAAGACAAACACAGCAGGGAGCTGGGGCGCAGGCCCGTGATCCCAGAGACTGTGGAGGCTGAGACAGGAGGATCTAAGTTTGAGGTTAGCCTCCAGAATGTAGCAAGGCCCTCATCGATTTTTAAAAAGACCCTGTATCAAAAAATAAAATAAAAGGACGGGGCTGTGGCTCAGTGGTTGAGTACTCCAATAAGGGGCGGGGACAAAGAAAACCACCACATGGTGGCAGATCTGAGCCTCCCAGCCACCCAACTGACACAGGGATTCAGGATAGAGAGGAATGCAGACTCTTAAAGGAGACACCACAAGCCATTGAGATTCAGAAAGCAGTTGCAAACCCTGCGAAATGAGGGAAATATGCAAACCCAGGAAAACCTGGGGGAAAGGGTGTAGCCCCACCCGGGCTCCACCTCCAGCCCAGCTCGGACGCAGCCTCCCTGTAAATGTCAGCCCCGGCCCAGGCCAGGGCTGCTCCCACTCTCGGGCAGCCTGTGCTGGCCCGTCCCACATCACCTGCCTCTGCCTCTGCCTCTGCCTGGCTTGTGCTGAAAGTCTTTTCGGCCATGTACCACGCGGGACCCGTCTCCTCTGGGAACCCCGCAGACCCTACTCAGGAGACATCTCTTCGGATTTAATCATTTTTCTACGCTCTGGCTAAGCCAATTCCTAAAGAGACCCATGGGGAGGGTTTGTATTATGCATCCAGATTTCAAGTGAAGGGACTGAGGCACCAGCAAGTTACGGAGGAGTTGGAAGGTGAACCACTGTAAGTCGGTGACCGTCCTCGGTAGCCTCAAAGGAAAGCAGGGTTCCCACCAGTGACCTCTCCGGGTGAGCATCCCCAGGGTTCCGTGTGCCCACCCCCCTCAGGCACACACAAATGGCGCGACCCACTGGCCCAGCGTGGACTCTGTCCACTTCTGGGCCCGACCTCAAGGCGCGAGGTTCCCCCCAGCCCTGCCCGGTGTAGGCCCAGCAGCCGGGACCTACCCAGGTTGTGCTTCATCTCGGAGAGCTCCTGCTGGTGCAGCCACTGCAGCTTCTCGATCTCGATCCTCAGCCTGCGGATCTGGAACGAGAAAAGCAGGTTCCGACGAGGCCCTGAGCGGGTCCAGCTGCTCCCCAGCAGGCCCCAAGAGCTCAGCCCCTCCTGACCAGAAGGGTCACAGGTGCCACGGGGCTGACTCAGGCAGCCAGGCTGGGCGCTGACCTTCCCCCAGCACCTGTCCGGGGATGGGAACCCCAGGTTGACCCAAATTCATGAGAAATCCTGGCTCTGAAGACCAGCGGAGAGCACCACCTACCATGGAAAGACCCGGCACTAGAAAAAGCCACTTAGAGTGAAGGACCAAGTCCCCCAAACAATACATCAAAAGTCTGGAGAGAGGCGGGCACAGTGGCACAGCCTGTGATCCCAGAGGCTCAGGAAGCTGATGCAGGAGGATGGCAAGTTCAAGGCCAGCCTTGACAACTGAGCAAGACCCTGTCTCGCAGTAAACAGAAAGGCTGGGGTGAAGCTCAGTGTCAGAGCACCACTGGGTTCAATCCCCAGCACCCCAAAAATGATTTTAAAAAAAAGTTTGCATTTTTGTCTAAGAAAATTTAATAAAGGTAGCGGTGACTTTTCACCTGATAAAACATCCGGGTGGAATCCATGATCATTCATCTGAAATTCCAAAGCCCAACGTCTTTGAAATGAAAGGGGGAGGATAACCCCAATTTGGACCTTATTGATTTAAAGGGAAAATAAGCTTGGACTGAACTGATCTGAGGGTTTTAATTATCAAGCGGCTTGGTCACTCATGACAATGACAATGTGGACTCACTTTGGTTGTCACAAGTGAGGATTACTACTGACACCTAGTGGGTAGAGGCCAGCGGTGCTGCTGAAGGACAGTCCCCAACACAAACGTCACAGGGGCTGAGGTTGAAAACTTCTGATTTACCCTGCGAGGGTGAACGACCTCATTTCAGTGCCAAAATCTCATGTCTAGTGGGCGGGGGAGGGGGCTGGATATCACCCTCCAAAATGGGAAAACAAGTGCAGCCCCCATCTGACCAGGGCTTCAGGTGAGACACTACGAACCCGCTCACCCCCAACCACAGGCGGGTTCTTAAAAGGAATTCTTAAATCCACTCCTCCTGACCCTTTATGTTCACACGGTTTTCCTTCAGAAACTCCCAGGTCCCCTCTTCTTGTCTGAGCAAAGCCAAGAACCCCGTCAGAGGCTGTGCACGGGACTCCCCACCTCCGTCCTCGCCCCTCAGGACTCCAGAAACCCTGCCACCCGCACTTCACCTGGTGACCTGCGAGCACCTGGCCCACGCTGTCCCGGCCGGCCACACAGCCAGCAGCGCATTCTCCAGGACTATCAGCCAGAGAGGGAATTCTGCAAACTGCACTAGAAAGTCCCTTTCCCAGGGGACAGTTTATGCTTCACCAGAAGTCTGGGGCTTCTCTGGGCCACCTGAGAATTTCTGAATGCAAATGCTTAGATCGCGTCTGCAGAGAGGCCCAGGCCTAAGGAAAGACCACGGCACTGATTCGACATGGAGCGGAAGGGCGGGTCTCCCATCTCACCATGGACTAACCCTGGCTCAGACGGGGCTATCTATCACACCTGGCCAAGTGGCACAGCTGCTGGCTGGGCATTGGGGAGGAAGTAGCCCACCCACCCCTCACACAGCAGGGGCCACGGCGACGGAGGCAGGCCCGGGGGCCCGGGCAGCTCATGCACCACGTCACCCTTATAGCAGCCTCTAAGGTCCAGAGCAAGTAAGGAATCCTGTCACCTCTGACCTCAGCGATCGTGCTTCCAGTAGTGTTCTTGGAAAGATCGTTGTATATTTCTGTCATCGTCCCTTTTATGGCATCCATCATCTGAAAGACAAAAACAAACAATCCACTCACCATCGGCGGCTTCTCCAGGCAACAGAACTAACATGGACATGGAGAAGGCAGCAGTGACTGTGCCCCTCCCAAGACACTGGTCCCCCTGCCCTGAAGACTAGTCCACAACTCATGCTAGTTTCTACACCCACAGACTGAACCAACCGGAAAGGCCCAACAGGACCCATCTGGTCTTGTCTAACACGGCAGGTTTGAGGGAGAGGGTGTCTTGTTACTGCCGTTGAGTTCTCTCTCCCTCTCTCGAGTTCTCTCTCCCTCTCTCTCGGGGCTGGGAATGAAATCCAGGGGCTTGTGCATAGCAGGCAAGTGCTCTACCACTGACTTACACCCCAGCCCTTAATTAATTCTCCTTTTAAAAACACGTTTACTAGGGAAACTGAGGCAGGAGGATCACAGTTAAAGGCCAGAGAGTGAGACCCTGTGTCAAATTTTTTTAAAAATAAAGAGGCTCAATAGTAAAGTATCCCAGTATTCAATTCAATCCCTGGGGGGGGGGGGGGGAGAGAGAATATCCACAACATACCATGTAAACTGTATATTGCAATCTTATTAAAATGTAAATTTATTTATTTTTAACTTTTTTAAGTTGTTGCTAGACCTTTATTTGGTTTATTTATTTGCAGTACTGAGAATCAAACCCAGTGCCTCACACATGCCAGGCCAGTGCGTTACCTCTGAGCCACATCCCCAGCCCCTAATGCAGTGGTTTTTAGGGACTGAGTGCCAGGGTCGTAGCTCAGTGACAGGATAGGTCCACAACATGTTTAACAGGCACAAGGGCCTGGGTTCAGTCCCCAGTGCATGCTCAAACATGCACACAAAACACCAATGGCTTTTCAAATATTTGAAGTGACTCATTCGTCACCATAAATCATTTCCAGAACATTTTCATTACTCCCCAAAGAACGCCTGCTCCTTGTTAGTCTCCACCCCTCCAATGTCCCCATCCTGCACCTCCCAGGTCTCTGACAACCCTGGCCCTTTCCTGGTACTAGAGACTGAACCCAGTCAGGGGCACTTTCCCTCTGAGCTCACCCCCAGTCCACTTTATTTTTTATATTGAGGCAGGGTCTCGCTAAGTAGCCCCCGCTGGCCTCAAACCTGTGCTCCTCCTGCCTTGGCCTCACACTGCCGCGATCACAGGCGTGCCCAGCTGTCCATCAAACCTCAACCTGCGCTCTACCCTACAGGTTTGCTTATTCCAACCATTTCCTGTAAATGAACTCGTGCAACACGCAGGCCCTGGTGCTGGCTCAAGGCCTGCGCACCTGCAACGTCTCATTCCTTTGCAGCCTGCCAGGTGGACTTGGCCATTTGCCATTTTAATGCCCTCAGCCCAGGCACTGCCTGCCTACTTCATTCCCATCTTCCTTCCCTTAAACGAGTCTCTCAAGGCACCGGTCAGCCTGTGAAACCAGCCAGGGCAGAGAGAGAGAGAGAGAGAGAGAGAGAGAGAGAGGGAATCCACAACCACCCAAAGACCTGCTGACCAAATGTGTTTGTGGGAAGACCTTCTCTCCTCCTTCCCCCGCCACAGGGGCCAGCAGGGGCCAGCAGAGAGGTCTGTCAGGCCTGCTCTGACGGTGGCCAATCTCTCCTGGGCTTTCCTAAGCTCCAGCTCAGAGGGAAGGCAGGACAAAGGACACCCTGCATCCAATGCCTCTGTCCCCCCATAGTTTCTCACCTTCCCTGGAACAAAGCCAGGTGCCAACAGAGCACCCGGCGGGGTGTGCACAAGGGACTGGGAAAACCAGGCCAAGGCCGCCCGGGCCTGCCCACCAGTGGGGAGGTGGCCATAAAGGAATGCCTGTTCGCATTCTGTTTTGCACAAAAACAAATCCGTGTGAGCACGCAACTGCATGACAGTCAAATGAGTGAAATATCTGTTGCGAGTCCCACCCTCCTCAGGCTTCCGCCAGGATACGCACTTTCTGCTGTGCGTGGTGCCCAGGGGGTCCTTCTTCACGGACCCCCGGGCTCTGCTGCCAGGCACATCCACAGAAAGCACTGGACCAAACGGCCTCACAAGAAAACGCGGGACAGTGGGGGAGACTCAATAGGCCGCGAAGGCAACACTGACTTTGCATTTTAAAGATGGACTTGTGGAGTGACTTCCACGCCTACTTCCAAATACAGCCAAGACCTCGGAATTAATAAGGAAGGCATTTCTGCCAAAACGCAGAAACCCGCGCCTCCAACGTCAGGTCACCTCAGAGACAGAAAAGTTCATCAGCAACACCCCACCCCCATCCCCCAAAGTGACCCTGTTCATTCTTTTAAATGGTGAAGAAAACGTCCCTGGAAACAGGTCCTGCCTCAGAGGAAAGGGGACTGCAGGGGGCGGTGGAAGGCCCATGGCCACAGGAACCGGGAACACGGGCTTAGTGTCAGTGATAAGCCTGACCACCCGGCCGGCCTCAGTTTACCTATCTGTAAATAAATAGCTGGGACCAGATCAAAGGAGGGGGATACCAGGGACAAATGCACATTGAAAAACAGACAGACAATACCAGATACCACCTCCACAGTCACTCCACAACCTTGAGTTCTCAGAGGTGGTTCATGTTTGCTCAAGTTTTTCTACTGGGGTTGGGACCTAGCCTGGCTCCTTTGGTCGCTTTAGAGTAGAGAAGCCCACAAGGTGCGTCAAGGGCTGGGCTGCACTTGTCACCACATTGTTGTGCTGGGACAGCCCTTCCCATGTTTCTGGGGTGACCAGGACCCTTTGTTCTCATAGCTGTCCAGCAGAAGGAGGTCACGCAGAGCCCGTCCACGTCCACCATCACCCTGGTGACCAGCACGCAGCCATCCCCCCTGATCAGCAGCTCGGGCTGCACAAGCACCCTCGCGTCGTCCGTCAGCGCCGACCTGCCCATCGCCACCGCCTCGGCCGACGTCGCCGCCGACATCGCCAAGTACACGAGCAAGGTGAGTGGCGGGCGCCGGGTGGGCTGCCGCGGGGGGCCCGGGCAGAGGACCCTGTTCCGCACTGGCTCTGAAGTCCGTTCTCAGCGGGGTATTGAGGGCGGACTCAATCTCACGCCAGGAAGGCTTAGATCCTAAAACCAGCCCACAAAATCCATAAGGCGCTGGAGTCCCCTTTGGCATTCAGGCTGCTCATGAAGGACAGGCTTTCCTTGAGTGCTGGAGCAGAGGACAGCTGACCCAGGGGTTCAGGGTCCCCGAGGTTCCGACCAGGGAGGATTCCAGGGTCCGCGACGTGCCACTCGCGATGGTTTTCTGGCCTGTTCATCACCTGAGCCAGTTTTGAGTTAATATTTTTGTTTACACTTAATTCCTGTTATTTAAATCCGCTCGGTTTAAAAACCTAAATAAATGAAGCTTAATCTCACCAGATACTGTCTGTGTCAAGGCTTGGACCTGGAGGGAGACTGACGGGGATGTCACAGCCCCCACCCCCGGGGTCTTTCTGCTGCGGCTCTGTGGGGTTGGAAGAGGGCTGATAGGGACGTGTTTTCAGTATCGATGTAAGGTGGTATCTGGGATTGTCTGTCTGTTTTTCAATGTGCATTTGTCCCTGGTATCCCCCTCCTTTGATCTGGTGCCCCGAGTGCCCGGGGCAGACTCCAGGTGCCCAAGGAACTCCAGCTGGTTCTGACCTGCAACAGGGCAACGGAAGAGGGGGCTCTGTCTTCCAGCCCCACGGAAGGGGAGGCGCCTCACCGCCCTGGATGGCCCAGCCCTTCTGCCCCCATATTGTCCAACTCTCCTGACTCTCCTGAGCCCCCACTTCACCCTCCTTGCTCCCTCAACCTACCTACAGGCCCCAAACCTCCACACAGGTCAAAGCAGAGGTCAGTTCACCTGGACTCCCTGACTAGCGCACCAGTGTATGACTGATTAAAAACCAGTCTTACCACCTTAACTAGTGGTGCGGGAGTGCCCAGCTGATTCAGGTGTGTCTTACCACCTTAACAATTGATGCACACATGCCATCAGTCCTTGTCACTTTATTTTGAGACAATTGGAAAGCTGAGGACCATAACGTCCACGAGTCTTTCTGGCAGCACCAAGCCTCCCCCTGGGGAAGGACCATCTGGTCACGGGGTAGGAAGACAAGACGTACTCATCCTCATCTCCAGCAACCTAGATCCAGCTCCGTCCCAACAACTGTTCTTTTTTGAACCAGGGATTGAACTCAGGGCACTCGACCACTGAGCCACACCCCCAGCCCTATTTGGTATTTTATTTAGGGACAGGGTCTCACTGAGTTGCTTAGCGCCTCGCCTTGGCTGAGGCTGGCTTTGAACTCGCGATCCTCCTGCCTCAGCCTCCCGAGCTGCTGGGATTGCAGGCGTGGGCCACTGCGCCCAGCTCCAACCACGTTTTAAGCACTAGGGTCACTTCAACTGTCTTCCAACTTGACCTCTCCAGTTTTCCACTCCTTCCTCTCCCATTCCCCAATCTTTGGAGGGTTACATGGGCCTCCTCTGAGGTCCAGCGACCTTTTTACCTTGCACCCTGCTGCTAATCAGAAGGCCTGCTCACCAGGGTGCACTCACTAGGAGACTTTCAATCAGGGGCCCCACCTTCCAGGATCTGGAGGAGGTTCCCCGAGGAACCAGATGTACCCCAGCCTCACAAACCTGGGCAAACTGACCCTGGGCAGATCGGCCCTCTGTGTGCCCTGACGTCAGCTGCAGATGGAGCGTCCTACTTTCTGGTGGGAGTTTCAATTCTGCAACTTCAGCAAGCAGTTCCTGCCGCTGGCCTATCTCATGGGTGTGGCAAATCCCTGGTTTTCAGAGTAAGCTTGGCTGTCAACCTCTCACACAGTACTCTTCCCAAAACAAGGCCAAGGGCTTTGCTCATGTGCCCGTGGAAACACTACACAAAGGTACAACTTTCTTTGCAGCACTGCTTATGGTAGGAAAAAAAATGGAAGCACTAAGCCCACTGGGAAGGAAATGCTTTACATAAACTACGGAATACTACGCAGCAGTCCAAAAGAAGAAGGCAGGGCCGTATGCTGGGACACAGGCAGACCTCGAAACATGCTGATGGGGGTGGAAAAAAAAAAAAAGCAAGTATGGTACCATTTTTATGTCTTAAGAAAAAAAGGGGAAAATAAGTACTTTTATGGTGTCGTGGGTGGGGGTGTGTGGGGGTCGGTGTGTGTAGATACTCGTGCGTACATGCATAGGAAAGGGTTTTAGGTGACTGATCATGGCTACCGAGGAAGGAAGGACAATGAAATGGAAGGTGAACGGGCAACACTCAACAAAATTCTACATAAACATCCTGCCCCCTTTCGAAGGAGAAGAGAGGCATGTATCACCTTAAAAAAAAAAAAAAAATCTTTTAAGTGAAAAAGTGAGTTGCAAACCAACTTTAAAAAAAATAACGCCAAATGGAACGTGCGAGGCCCTCAGGACACGATGGCCGGAACACAAACGGGAGGGAAAAAATAAAACGGCAATGGAGTTTGTCCTGTCGATGTGGCAACGGGAGTGGGCGCCACGCAGAGCAGAAGGGGGCTGTACCTTTCACAGCCTGTCTGGTCTGATATCTCGTCCCCTGGGAAGACTGAGGCTGCTGCTGCTGCTGCTGCTGCTGCTGCTGCTGACGCTGCATCTTCTGCATGTGCCACTTTTGGGAGGACGTTTGAAACTTACTTGATGAGTTCCACACGACCCGCTGCACGGCCGGGGCAGTCTCCTTCGGTAAGAGCGGCCTCTGCTTTTTCACCGGGCTTCCTGTGACGGCGGGGGCCGGCGCGGTGACCGTGACGGTGGATGTCGTGCTGGTGGTGGCCGGGACGCCGGCCACGGGGGTTTGGGAGGAGGAGCGGGTGGGCACCGGCGTCTCGGGGGGAGACTGGCTGCCCGAAGTCGTGGACGGCGGCGCTTTACCAACGACTACAGCCAGGGCGTGGAGACAGACAGACAAACAGAGCAGGTTGGACTCGGTTCCGGCAGGGTCCTGCCTTGAGTTCTGGGCAAAACCAACCAAAGCCAGGGGTGCCCAGGGAGGTCCGCACCAGGCGCCCACCCAGGAGCAGCATCTCACCTCCACTGAGCCCGGCTGGCATCGAGACCCAAGCCATGACCCCTGGGGGTCAGGAGGTGAACACGACCCCCCACCAGGGAACGAAGCCGTGGGAGATAGAATCCCTGCGAGTGCTTGTCCAAGAAAGGACTCCTCCCGAGGGGCAGGGGAAGCCCTTAGCTAGGGATCCCCTAACACCCGCACCCCAAGAACCAGACGGCCTCTCCCCTGCCAACCACTGAGCAGCACGGAGCCACCCGCCCAGAAAGAAAAGCCCCTCTGTCTCCTCCAATTCCCTCCAGGACAACGTCCCAGGGAGGTGCTGACACTAAAAGGAACTCTGCCCCACGCAGGGCCAGAACCTCCCCAGCACAGTCACTCTGCGAGTTTTAGCTCTGGACGTCTGCTGGCCCTGCCGTCTCGTGTCCACGCACACAGTCCAGGCTCTCCTAGTGTGTGGAGGTCAAGTGTAACGTGTTCGCGTCTTTTAAAATGAGTTTCTTTTAATACCGTCAACAACTACACAGGCAGGACTTGAGAATTACAAAAACCGTGCATGTGAAGGCCTGGGGTGGCGCCCGCTGCGCTGCGGTCTTCCTGGAGGAGCGGGGCTGGGGCTTCACCCGGCAGAGCGAGGAGCCCGGGCCATGGCAGGGCCACCGTGGTAAGGAGACAGCGGGGCAGGAGCGGCCGAGGCAGAAGAGCCAAAAGCACTGAGACCAGGGAGCTCGTTCAGCCAGGGGGTTGGTCATGGCCACCGAAGTCCCAACCGTGGATTAGGTGGACTTGGCCCCAAGAGGACATCAGGGAACACACTGCAAACACGGGTGCGGGTCAACCGTCCCTGACCTCACGAGGGCGTGATGAAGGGAGGACGGTCAGGACGCCGTGGGGTTTAGGGGCCGGGAGAAGGAAGCTGAGGGACAGCAGCTGGCCGACTCCGGGCCGGCCTGGGGCAGCCCTCCTGCTTCCCTGGAGGGGAGCACTCAGCCGGCTGCTGGGCATCAGCCCAAGTGGGGCTGGGCAGGGTCCCTTCCTGCAATGAGGGGTCCCGATCTTTCCTGGGTGACCTACGGGTACTGGACACAGCCCCTGCCCCTTCCAGGTACACAGGAGGCGTTCCCCTGGGCTCTACTGAGAGCCAGGCAGCTCCCCACGTTATCATTTAGGCAAATTTTAATTTCTAGGGTATTCTGATGATTGGTGGGGAGGAATCTCAAGGAAACTTCACTGGCTAGAAATCTGGAGTATATAATCACCCAAAATTCATCCCAAAAGGGTGAAGCCTTTACAGGGCCGGCACCCGGGGAGCTGCCCATTCAAATCCCCTGACATATTCCAGAACTTGCCACCCTGCATTAGCATCCCGGTGGGGAAGGGTGACGGGACTCCTGGGCGCAGCAGGGAGCGGGTCTGCTCTGAAGGTACCTACTCCACCACACGCCGCACTCCACGCTGAGGGTGAGCGGGAGTCCCCACGGCACCGTCCCAAACGCCCTTCCCTTCAACTGAGCAGAAGCGAAGGCGCTTGGTGGGGACCCTGCTCCACTGCAGAGTCCAAGGCTGAGCCTTCGAGACCCGAACCACCACGCAGGCTCTGGATTTAAGATCGTTCGATTTTTCCTAATCGCTAAGAAGCTGCCAACTGAACTGGGTTCTAGAATCTTCTGCTCCACCATCCAGCATCCACTCGGGGCTCCAGGAGAAGTTTCCTGGAGACGTCAGCGTGAGGAAAAGCTCTTTTTTTTTTTATTACTGGAATAATTTTGAGTTTTTGGAGAGTGTGAGATCTCTTAAGGATCTCTTCCTTTTTGCTTTCACGGCCAGGAAGCTCAGAGCCCAACTCTAAACCCTGACAGCACGTACTTTTGCCTAAAATTGCTGCCCAGTTATTCTACCTTCTTTTCCCTTTTACACTGACTTCTCTATTTTCCTTCTGTTTCATGGTTATGCATTCTTGTCAATCTGTGCAAATCCTGTCTGGAAGAGGAAGGGGCATGGAATGAATCAACCAAAAGGCCTGTTCCAGAAAGAACAGAACAGTATAACTGTGCCCCGGGAGTCCTGTACCACCTACACCCAGATCACACTTCCACCATCCTCACGGAACACATGCTGCTGCTGCCCGTTTTCTCTGCAACAATAAAGAGCAGCCTCTCAGAACTCAACGCATGACGTCACTGTTTTTCAGAAGCATCTATGAATCTCTGAGATGGCCAGGGACGGTCGGCCTGCCTTCTCTGTGCTGCGTCTCCTTTCCCTCCGCCCTCCTGCACGCTTCAGAGACATCCTGTTCTCTTTTCCTGAGCGGCGGGATACCCTCTCTCCCCACTAACAATTGAGAAACCACAGCAGCAAGATTCTCCACACACACTGAGACCTTGCTTTAAGCCAGCAGGCTGGGGAAATTCAAAGGACACAGGTTCCCATCTTAGTCAATGGTTTGGATAAGAAGTTAGCAGCTGTCAGAAGTAAGGCATAGTCAAAAATCAAACCTGGCTACGCTGTAAGTTACCCACAAAGTACATGAGGCTTTATGGCCTTGACCTCTAATCTGTCCTCAGGCAACATTTCTCCAGGGACCCTTAATTAATTCTTCAGTACCTTCCGTGGGCATGCTGGGCTCCACCCACCACCCATTTGCCAAGCCAGCTGGAAAATGTGCTGACGGCTTTGTCGGGGCAAGAACACCCTCCAACTCATTCCCAAGCTCCTGCTAGAGGGTTTTCCTGCGGAGACAGGGTGCCCATGCCCTCCAGGGACACCTAACAGCCAACACCAGGACCTCTACCTGGTGGTAGAGGCCAGGATGCTCCTAGACACCCTCCACGGGACAGAGAACTCTGTAGGGCCAAGTGTCACTAGTGCCAGGCCGAGCAGCCCAGGGCTCGGGTCAGCTAAATGAACAGGACGGACATCAAATCAGGTGGCATGTCACCAGACACTGCCCCTTGGGTTTCTAGGTCCTCGAAAGGCTCTCGGGCACTCGGGTACCACTTACCAAACAGTTTCACATTCTCGTAAGAAAATGTACCTGGTAATGCCTGAGTAGCATGAGGGACAGACAGGAAGCTGGACTAAGGAGGACCTTTGACTGAGCCTGGTCAGAGGTTGACATGTCAACAAACACTTCAGGGACATGAGTGAGCCTGTTGGAAAAGCAGTGGCTTAGGCTAAAGAGGACTTCACTAAAACCAACTACCGTTTTCTAAGTGCTTCCTTGCTGGGCTCCCAAACAATCATGGTGGGCACTGAGCAGGCCAAGGTCAGGGGGCCTACACCTAAGCCCTGGTCCTGTTCTGTCCTCAGCCTGGGAACGTAAGGCCGTCCAAGCTTTCCTCGCTGCCCGGTGCTGGGGGCCCCGTGGCTTCTGCCAACACAAGGGCCGGGGGCGTTCCAAGCCCAGTGAGAACCTGCAGACGGACACAAGGACTTACCGTCCTGCTTGGGAGGTGGCTCTTTGGGTTCCTTCTTATTTTTCCGGCCCTCCCGCCCAGGATGGTCGTCTCCCAAGTCTATGACAAGTTCACTCTCTGAATCCGAGTCCAGGCCCAAGTGCACCGTCGGGGAATCCGTCTCATCTTTGCCCTTCAGTTTGTCCTTGGCGGGATGCGGGGACGGCTTCGCTCTCTCAGCAGAGTCCCTCTCGGGCTCGGGGCTGGCCTTCGCGGCCACGGGCTCTGCCTTCTCGCCCACTGGAGACGCGCTCTTCGGCTCCTCGGGGACCTCCGCGGGGTTGGCGGGCTTGGGCTTTTTTTTGGCAGCGGGTGGCTCCTTGTCCAGCGCACTGCCGTCCTTGTCCTCCGCGTCTTCTGGCTCATTCTTGGACTTCTGCTCGTCGTCACTGAGGTACTCACTGTCGCTACTCTCCGACTTCTCAGAATCCTCCGAGTCGCTGTGCTCCACGGCCGTATACACGTCCTCCGAGATTTCATTGATGCCTAAATTCAAAAGAGAAAACCCAGCCTGTGGCGCAGTCACGAGAAGCAGGACCAGAAACATGCAGATGGTTCCCATGCCAAAGGCTGGAGTGACAAAAACACACTCAAATCGCATCACACTGGCCCGAGGGACCGGAGTAAATGGAAGCAGCCACTGGACACAAGTGACCAGCGGGAGCCGTGTCTGCAGAGGCTTCGGGCCTTAGCCTTCAGAGGTGACCTGGGACCTCCCTACACACGATTAAACACGAGCAAGCTAAGTCTGCATCGCTGGTACTCCTACCTAGAGGGAGAGGGCTGCAGGGACACAGGGACAAGCCACTCCAACCAGCCAACCCGCAGGTTAAAAAGTAGAGGCTCAGGGCTGGGGTCACAGCTCAGTGGTGGAGCGCCCGCCTCGCACATGCAAGGCCCTGGGTTCAATCCTCAGCACCACATAAACATAAATAAATAAAATAAAACGTACCGTGTCCATCTGCAACTAAAAAACATATTAAAAAAAAAAAAATAGAGGCTCAGAGGATCACCTGTCCTAGGACACAAAGACAACCAGGAGACAAAGCAGAAGGCGGATCCCGGGCTCGGGCTCGGACTCGTCACCAGCCTCCTCCCGGGTGCCTCCAAAGCCTCTGTGCCCTCACACCCTTGTCCAGGTCTCCAGAAGGAAGCCAAGGCCCTCGAGCCCACCCAGCCGCAGGCACCTTCACTGGGGACTGCCCTGCGGGCGGCACCCGTTTTGTCTGGGTTTTGCTTTTTCTAACTTAGGATTTGGTGCCCAACTCACCAAGATGGCGGGCAGAGTCAGCCAAGAGCAGAGGCTGACTCGCCTACTTTGGGACATAGGCCTGTGGCCAAGCAGCCTTGGGGAAGGGGCAGGGGTTCTTCAGGTAACCAGCAGGCCCCAGGACAGAGTGGACTGCTCACTGTTCTTCCACTCACAGGGGCCAAGATGGACTTGCATGTGCCCATGTCCATGGAAAGGGAAGAGCAGGGGCCAGGGATATGGCTCAGCGGGTACAGTGCTCGCCTCGCATGCACAAGGCCGGGGTTCAATCCCCAGCCCCACCAAAAAAAAAAAAAAAAAAAAAAGGTGGGGAGGGGGCACAAAACAGCAGGTGCTCCAACAGGGGAGAAGCCCCTCCAGCAGCAGTTCTGCTCAGCCCCACTGCGCTTCCTGCAATGCCCGAGTGTGGCCAGGCCACAGGTAAAACATACTATGCCCAAAAATTAAGATCAGAAAGAAAACCCAATCGACTCTTTGGACTGCCTTCACTCAGGAGCAACGGCCTCTTGAATCGTCTTGACCTGGACACACCAAGCGAGACCCACAAGAGGACAAGAGCCATGAGGAGCCCAGGACCGGGAGGTTGGCAGATCTCTAGGAAACACTTCTGCCTCCACCAGGGCCCGGCGTGGAGAACACCCAGGCGTGGTGTGGTTTTTAGATCTCAGGTTTGTGCTAGTGTAGCTAATGGCTGGACCCAAGAAAGACAAGCTGGACCACACGTGTGGTAAGTACCAGGTACCAGAATCAAAATGGTGACAATTTAAATCCTGCTCCTGGTGTCACTGGCTGTGTGACCTTGAACAAGTGATCCGCCTCTCTGAGCCTCGGTTTCTTCATCTGAAAAATGAGACTGAGAATAGTAGCAATCTCCCATAACGATGGATGCACTGTGCTGAGCACAGGGCAGGATGCACCAGAGGCACTCAGTAAACAGGAATGGGGGGCTTTACAAAGCTGTGTGGGAGGACCCAAGAGGGATTAAGTGACCGGCCCACCTGCGGGGACAGGTTCCTATAGACCCACTCAGGACAGATGTGAGACACTGGTGAGGCAGGGGCAGAGGAGAACTCAGCACCGTGAATCTTCAAGGCTGTCTTCACCAAGGATCACCTAAATAATTGACTAGCAGGTCCAGGACACTTTGCCATAAGTGGAAATACATTTTAGTTCCACTGGTGGTTCAAGGTCAGAACAGCCGCTAAGAGCAGCCAGGACTGGACCCTCACGGTCCAGGTGGATGTCATCGTCACAAACAATCAGAAACATTATTAGGAACAGCAAGCCACCAGAAGCCATACCTAACTGTGCTTTGCAGCTCTCTATGGTCTTGTCGAGATTCAGTTGGAACCTGCTGCGGATCTGCCGCTTGGGGGAGATGAGGGGCGCCGGGGTGGACTGCTGCTGCACGGACTCACTCAGCTCCTTCAGGTCCATCTCGGCTTTGCTGCGATCTGGAAGACACCACCGCACTCTCCTAAGCCCAGACTCAGGAGCGGTACTCACCACCGAGCTCCCCCCTGGCAACATGGAGGCTGGGGTGACGGCCGCAGCAGGCGGACTCCCACGGGCGGCTTTCAGGTGTAAGCTGGAGGGTTCCAGGCAGAGAGTCTGTGGGACCCGAGACCCTCCAAAGCCAGAGGAGCTCGGTGTCAGAATCAGCAGGGACAGAGCCCCCGGCAGCCAACACCTGCTCCAAACTCCCCAAGCCCAGTGAGGGGGGCTTGCACCAAATGAGGCTCGGGCCCCCGGAGACACCTGGGGCTGGGGACCCTGGCTGCCTACCATCCACAGAGGCTTCCTTGGTCATTCCTGATCTACCCAATCTGGGGGTCAAACTAGAAAAGGAAAACTGGGGAGAGGAGGTCTTCCGGCTATGGCTCCCTTCACCCGACAGCCTCCGTGGAGGCCAGGTAAGTAGATTCCTCCTGGACACTAACCTGTGACCAACAGGTCTCTCAGGTAAGAACCAAAGCCCTCTGCGATGACATCCCCTAACCCAAGTCCCCTCCGTCACTCCGCCAAGGGCTCTTTGTATGACCAGATGGGCCAATGAGCCCATGTTGATGAACTTGCTCTCCCATCCCAAAGCCAGGTAAGAGGAAGAGAACTACGGTGGCCACAAAGTCCATAAAGCAGTGAGAGATCACGGGGGAGGGGAGCCTGTCTTTCCCTTGACCTGATCCCGTGGGGTCCCCTCCACCAACCCAGCCAACCCCAGAACACAGGTCAGAAAGCAGGTGACATCTGATCACCCTCCAGAGAGGAGAAGCCACCTCTGAGCCTGTTCCTAGCCCCTGTGGGCTCATCTCCTGGACTTCCCTTCACTCCCCTGCGGACCCCGCACCCAAGGCAACCTATTCCCTGGCCGGTTAGGAAGCCCCAGGGGAGCATCCCAGAGCTTGCAAAGCTTTCGCTTGCTGTTCTCCTTCTGTTCTGGCATGAGCCAAAGCCCTTCACCTTCAACCAGAGCATTCTCCAGCACTGCGCGTGGAGAAATAGTTCCTTTAGTGATCAGAAGGAGCGAGGTCCCCAAAGCCCCCACCCAACAGAAGCAACGCACTGCTCCGACGACCTTCCTTCCCACCCAGGTTAACTGGGAAGGGCTCTTTCTCAAAGCTAGCAAAGACGCTACCGCTATGATTCCAGAACAGCACCCTCAGAGGTCCAGGTGAGGCCCTCGAGGGAGGGAGGAAGCCTGGGAGGGAAGAACGTTCATTCAGATTTCCCCAAGGAAGAACCAGAAACTCACCTGCACCTGCCTCGACCTGCAGCTTACAAAGAGCATTGATAGTGAAACAGCAGCACAGCGCGCCAACCCCGCGCGAACTGAGACTCACTGGAGTGCAAAACACCCCGTGCCTCTGCCTCAGGAGCTTTAATGTTAACGGGGTTAAAAACAAATACGAAGAAACAAACCCAAAAATACGGCATCCGTCAGGCCCTCAGAAACCCTGACTGACAGTCTGGGAGAGCTGGGGAAACCCCCCAGGTGACTCCTAGGGGCAGCTGGGGTTGAGACCCTGGTGTAAGACCACTTCTGTGAGTAAAGAGATCCCGCCCGGCCTTCACCCCGGTAGCCGCACCGCCTCGTGGGGCTCATCAAGAGACAGCCCTCACCTGAGCCCTCGACCTGTGCGTGCACGTGTGTGCGCGTGCACACCTGTGATAGACGCGGCCCTTCAAGTTGACTCCAGGAAGGCTCACCGGTTGCACATTCACAGGAAGAACACAACCAAAGGAGAGCACTCTCTTTGACAAAATAGGGGTTCTCGCCTCCATCAACGGCTACTATGTCCGTTCTTGTTAAGAATAAGCCACCAGGGGCTGCGACTGAAGCGCAGGGCCAGAGCACTTGCCCAGCACATGTGAGGCCCTGGGTTCAAGCCTCAGCACCACATAGAAAAGATTTAAAACATAAAATAAAATAAAGAGAATAGGTCCGTCTGCAACTAAAAAAAAAAAGAAAGAAAGAAAAAAATAACCCACCAGCCAGGCACGGTGGCACACACCTGTAATTCCAGTGGCTCATGAGGCTGAGGCAGGAGGCTCGAGAGTTCAAAGTCAGCCTCAGCAACTCAGTGTGAGGCCCTGTCTCTAAATAAAATATTAAAAAGGGCTGGGGATGTGGCTCAGTGGTTGAATGCTCCTAGGGTCAATCCCCAGTTCCAAAAAAAAAAAAAAGAAATCACCAAGTGGGGGTGCTGGGCTCAGGCCCTGGGACCTTGGGAGCCTTAGTATTTTGCAATCAGCAGCATTGGGGGCTCTCTCTCTCTCCTCCACAGGGAGAAGGAACACTTCCCTGTTCCTCTGGCTCGTGGTGGCTTATCAGGACTTCTCCCACCCCTGCCCTTCTATATCGGGACCATCTTCAGAATTCACTGTGCTGCCAGGATTTTGAACTTCTCAGTTGATATGAAGACAGCTCAGCCTATAAATGGAAGCCAGGAATTAAAAAAAAAAAAAAATACCCATGCTAGAGAAAGCCGCACGACCTTAGGCTTCTGCAGGGAGCACAAATGAGAACGACCCCTTTAGAGGTCAACTTGGCAATCTCTCTCAAAATGTCAACTGCACGGGGCCTCGACCTCCACTCCACCTCTAGGAGTTTACCCTGCGGACACTGTCCCCCAGGGCCAAAATCGGCATTCACTGTAGCTGTTTTCAATAACCAAGAAATGGACAACAACCGGAGCCGATCAATAAGGTGCCTGGATAAATAGCTTAAAAGTAAACAGATCTCCTCTGTTTTAACGCCGCTGGCAACTATGAGGAGTGGACTTCCAGGAGATACAGCCTGGCGGCTCCTTCAAGGAGACAGTTCATTAGACAAGAGACCCCGGCAGAAGCCCCTCTCAACCAAAGCCCAGCAGAGGGCTTCCCAGCGCATTCGCTGTAAGGACGTGGGAGAACATCTGGGCAGCATAGGCCCGGCTCACACCACGCTCCTCAGGAATGGCTGGCTTCCGAGGGCCTGCCCTGCACAGGGACAAAGGTGGCCCCTGTCAGTGACAGCAGAAGGACAGCAGCAATGCTCCAGGCCAGACAGCTCTCCACTGCTCCCTCAGCACCTTCAACAGAGCACCTGGGCACACCGCGGCCACCACAGGAGCGCTGGCCTGCTGGCCCTTCGCCTCTGCACCAGGGGCGCTAGAAGGAGGCGAGAATCCAGCACCGTGTTCTCGGCAGATTTCAGGTTTCGGGTGTGTGATTTATCGGTGCCACTGAATCACAGAAGGGGGCCTGAAACAAGCCAGCGGGACCCGGCTTCTGTCTGAAGGAGGAGAGCGGAGGCCCGAGACAGCAAGTGAGGGCAGCGAGCCGCTCCCACCCCCCACCCCCCGCACGGCAGCGCAGGAACCCTGACTCACTGAGCCCGGCCACGAAACCAGCTGCCAGCCCAGGGGCCGGGTCTTGTATTTTGGGTTTCTGTATTTGGCTCTCCAAGTCGAGTTTTATGATTTTCTTTTAATGCAGATGAGCCAGTTTTTATTTTAATTTGGGGCACTGGGGGGAATGGGGAGGGGACCTAGGGACACACTACCACTGAGCTGTATCTCCACAGCCTTTTTACAAATTTTGAGCCAGGGTCTCATTAAGATGCTTAGGGCCTTGCTAAGTTGCTGAGGCTGGTCTCAAACTTGGGATCCTCCTGCCTCGGCCTCCCCAGGCACTGGGATTACAGGTGTGCACCACTGCGCAAGCCCCAACAGCCAAGACTTTAAATCTAGGAGGGTACATGCTCATACGGGGAATTCTGAGCTTTAATTCCAAACACAGACGCAATGGGCAGCAGCTTCCTCCTTTGTCCCCCATGTTATCACTGCCCAGAGGGAACCTTCACCTAGCCCTGACCCCTGGGCTGGATTTGGGCCAAGCCCCACCCAAATCCTGTGTGACTGTGCACAGGTGACTTTGCTTCTCTGTGCCTCCCTTGCCCTTCCATAAAATGGGGCTGTCTTACCTACCTAAAAGGCTGTGCTGCTTGTTTATTTTAAAAAGTCATTTTAATCTACAGAGAGCAAAGTTCATTTTGGAGGAAATCCAGGTCTGTCTGAACAGAGGCACAGACGCACAAACCCCCCAGGCAAGACCTTGTCTCCAAGTGCTCCCTCCTGGTCTGCAGTCCAACCCTCCTCCACCCCAACCCCGGGCTGCTTCCATCACTGTGATTCTGCCTTTTCCAGTGTTCTGTCTGTCTGTCTGTCTGTCTGTTTGTTTTTGTTTTGGGGTTTTTTAATGGAATTCTGTTTTGTGAGACTGTTGCCGTCCGTCTGTCTCTGGCGCTCTGTATCTCTGCATCGCTCCTGTCTGGCGAAGGCCGTCACAGGGATAAACGTGACTAAGCCCAGGAAGCTCGCGTTCAGCCCCAGGCAGGCTGCCCTTGCTGGACTTCAGGACCCGGTGCATCCTTGCCCACGAGGGACCTGAGACCCTACCCAGGCACCGCCCAGCTCACAGGCCTTCATCCCTGCTGGGAGGGAGGCAAAACTGCCCAGTGTGTCAGGGGCTGGGGGCCTCCAGGGAGGCGGCAGGAGCCCTGGCCTGCACCACTGCCCACGGCTGCGCCCCACCACCAGACACGCCCCAGGAAGGGTCCTGCACTCCCACAGTGTCACCAGGATGCCTGCCGGTCACCCCATTTAGGGAAGGAGCTATCCTGGCCGCAGGGGACTGGCAGAGAGGAACGCAGGAAGCAGGCCTCGCCCAGCCCGGCTGCTTGGGTGTGCAGGAGGGAGGAGGCGTGGGAAAGGAGGCCACCATTCTGGGGACTGTAGGAAACAGTCGATGTTCCCAAGGCAGCAAGTGGGTTCCCTTTTGTTCAGTCACTCTGAATCCGAACCCCAAGCCCCACCCTGAGTGCCCTGTTCCACCTGGGCTGCGGGAACTGGCAACCCAGCACGCAGGAGACCCGGGCTCCAAGGACAGACAGCTGGGCTCCACCTGGGCTGCTGGCGCTGCTGGGCACCCAGGGTGCTGTCCAGACCTGGCGTCTCCCAGCTCCAGCAGCACTGCCCGCCCCCAGCCCTGCCTGTCCATCTAGATGGCCGGCACTCACCTCCCGCAGAGCTGGCCTCAGAGCGCCTGCCGCCAAGTGCCCTCTGCCCTCCCCACCTGGGGGGCCGACAAGCATCTTAGACTCCAAGGGGAGCTCCTGGCCCACAGCTCTGCCGCTGGCCAGGGAGTCGGCCCCGTTACCGCGTGGTCCAGGAGTTCCACGCCATGAGGGTCCTGGGCACCGCAGGAGACTCAGCGGCACTGGGGACAGGCAAATGTCCCAGACATGACCCCATGTGGGGTGGAGACACAACTGACCAGGCAAATGACTGATCAACAGAAAGTTGTCCTTCTGACACCTCAGGTGGGCACAGGCCCCTCCAAACTCGGGGTCTGCAAGCCCTCAATGGACTCCCCTCCTGCCCCTGCCCACAGGATGCAGCCACCCCAGCCGCCTGGCCTCTCCTACAGCACAGCGAGAGGGTCCTCACCCACCACCTCTAGAACCTCTTCTTTCCCCTAGAATGTTCTTCCTCCGGTTATCGGCACGGCTGGCTCTTCCTCCCAGGTGTTTATGGAGGCGTGAACCCTCTTGCCCACCTCCCTCGAGTACCCTCCGGGGACCTGAAGCTTTGATAGAGCCGGGTCCCTAGCTGGCGGGCTAACCTCTCCCAGGCCTACGATACTCCCAATACTAGGGCTCAACAAAAGCAGGAGTCATGGCAGAATGGCTCAAAATGACTTCGCACTTGGTTGTTTGGCATTACTAGTGCAAACTTGTAACACTTTGGCCTGACAGTTCTTTTTTTCTCCTAACACAGTATTTTTTAAACAACCAACTAAAACCCAATGGATTAAAAAATAGTAATTCAAGGGATGAAAATCGATATCAGAAAATTAAAGGGAACAGGGTATCAGAGTACACCGGGCGCAGGAAAGTTAACACTGGTTCATGGAACTTCCTTCGGCCACATGTACGTATTCACATCTCAGTGATCTGGCTTATAGGCTCAAGGAGAACAGAGCTTCTGAACACTGCCCTGAGGCCCTTCAAGACAAGAACCGCTGCAAATGGGTGTGGTGTCGCATGCCTGTTATTCCAGTGACTCAGGAGGCTGAGGCCCGAGGACTGAAAGTTCAAGGCCAGCCTCAGTAACTCGGTGAGGCCATGCCACAAACAAAACAGAGTTAAGTAGGGCTGGGGGCGTGACTCACCTCACCTTCACCCACTGCACCTTTTTAATTATCTGCACAGAGAAAAGAGTTCAAAGGTTCAAGAACCACACATAGAAAAAGGACATTACAATTGCCAAGTCACAGTTGTCACAGAAAGACTCTGCCAGAGGTGCCAACTGACCCAGGTTAAGGTTCAGGATGCTTCCGGTGGTGGACGTCTTGTCCGTTTTCGTCATGATGGGCGCAGACGCTTGCGGGGAGAAAGGCTTCGGGCTGCCGGACAGACTCCCTGCCTGCCCCGTCTTCATGGAGGGTGGTGAGGCTGAAAAGGTAAGGCACTGTTAGAAGACAGACTTACACACCGACAGGAGCGCTCGCAGGCACAGGTGGGGCGGGGGGACAGACAGGCGCGTGTTCCATTCTGGCCGGACCAGGGGCTGGTGTGGAAGGAGAGGGCGGGGCTGGCTGGTGGCTGATTTCCAGCGTCACCCGACACTGAACCGTTAAAGCCACCAGGAAGGCGGCCTCCCCAGTCCTCTATTAAACACAAAGCTCTAAGACAAATCGGCTAAGCTGCCCACAAAATTGGTTTGGCCCATCCACGGGTGTAAATCTCAAAATAAACATCAGTGAACTGCAGCAGCCCCCACGAGGTCCAGATGTGGAGATCAGGAGCCAGGCTCGAAAATGGCATGGCCTCTGCAGGCGGGGGGGGGGGGGGGGGGGGGGGGGGGGGGGACAGGGGCGGCTCACACAGCCCACACCTGCTGGGGAGCAGCCAGCCCCGGGGGGTTCTGCAGCGACTGGTCCAGAGGTTCCCAGGCTGCAGACAGCCCCGCTCAGGACCAGACGGAGGGAGCCGTTGGTGATTCTCCCCTCCTTCTGTGTTCGGAACTTCAACAGGGGGACGAAGGTGGTCCTGCCTGCGGCTTTGAACCTCAAACCACCTATCACCCACGTGCTGCCCCTGCGCCTCCCTTCGCTGGGGGAGAGAGGAGGAGGACAGAAACCAAGGAGCCAAGCAGAGCCCCCCCCAGACCCTGCCCGCTGGCCCTGGCCACTCAACTGTATTGGGACTGTACCATCGGGCCTGCTGGGCCCCTCTAAACCAGCTGGGTCTAAAACTGTGACCCACGACAAATGGCCAGTTCTCCTCAGACAGGCAAGAAACCTCTGAGGTGACCTGGTCTTGACAGACAGCTACCGATGGCAAAGGGAGCAGGAATGAGACTCCCCAGGGACTTCAAAAGCGCTCCTCCACTGGGGGCACAGGGGCGGGCCTCCGGCCCCTCGCTTTCCCAACACAGATGTGCAGAAAAGGGACCCCACGGGCTCGCTCTGCACACAGCTCCGAGGCTCGGTGTCCATTAGCCAAGCTCGGCCCGGCACCTGTCGACTTTCTCTTCATGTAATTTGGTGGGAAAGACTGTGGGGGCCTGGAGTAAGCAGGGGTCGGGGGGCAGACACTGCAGTTCAAATCCTAGCCCAGCTGCTGGCCTGCTGTGTGGCCTCGGGCAGGCGGCCCCGCAGCCCCAACCTGGCAGCAGCAGAGGGGGACTCTCAGAGCTTGATCCGAGGGGAGGAGGAAGGCTACACCTCCTGTGGGGAGTGAGTCCCACAACTGCCCGTCACCCGAGCCTCACCTGGAACCTACCAAGTGCTTGACCCTTGCTTGCTGTTGGGCACTGGTTTTCTATGTCCTCACTGACCTCGAAGGCTTTGGTTTCATCATTGAACCCGTGACTCTCAGCCAGAAGCGAATGCACCCCCTACCCCCCATCACCGCCCCCAGGACAGGACTGGCAATGTGCACGGACAATTGTGGTGGCCAGCACGAGGAGAGCAGGGCTGCTGCTGGTATCTAGTGGGGAGAGACCCAGGACACGCTAAATGTCCTGTGACACCCCACAGCCAAGAACTACCTGGCCCCCAATGCCACATGGAAATCCTTGTCTCCCGTGAAGCGGGGGCAGGGGTGAGGGCTAGATGGGCCCATCCATTCATGGTTAGCAAGCGCTCAGTTAACGGGAGAAATCATCTTGAGAATTAGGTTTTAAAAATATTCAATTAGGTCCATTCTACTGTGAGGACGGGCAGACTGGCCCAGCCGTGGCACAGAGCAGTCGTTCAACTGGGGGCATTGCTGCCACTATCACCGTCATTACCACGGGACACAAAGAAACAAGATGAACACAAGGGCATTTTAAGGAAACATGACCAGTAAGATCTTTACTATGGATTTTTAAATAATTATTCGTGTATGTCGTACCTCCTTACAGACGAGATCTGTGGTAGCTAAAAAGATCCAGATAACGAATTCCCTGTGCAGATGGAGGACCAGAGCTTCTCTAATTCCTATAAACTATGATTCAGGAACTTCTCAGGAACTGACAAGGAGACCTAATCCTGAGAGACAGCAGAGCCGCTGAGCACACAGAACCCAACGCAGAAGAGTCCCCTGCTTACGGGGTCAAGTTGAAGTGAACAGCAGGCGAGTGCAGCCAACAGGGGCTCTAGCAGGACAGTCCTACCTGAGATCCTGCTGGGAGTTTTAGCAACACACAGGGTGAAGTCATTTTTTTTTAACTGTTATATACATGCATGTGTATTAAAAATAATAATTGGAAGCTTTTAACTCTACGGATGCTTCCTTTGATAAACTTTAAATATTAGGATTGAAGAAATGGTCACACCACATGGCTGTGGCAAGAATGAGGTGGTCTCCACTGGTTTCCAGCAGAGACGGGTCTGGACAGGAGAGGGCCCACCCACCCCTCGGGGGTCTAGGACTGCAAAGCTTCACAGACTCGGGAAGGAACACAGCTTTGGGGTCATCTAGCAACCCACAGATCCCATCTGGGCAGAACTCTATCTCCTTAAGAAAGAGACCTCCCACGCCACCCCTAAATGCACCTGTCCCACCTCCCCAGCCTGTGCAATGTCCTGTACCTGACCGTCCTCCGCCTACAGTTAATGCCATGACCATCCCCTGTTAGTTCAAGTCTAACACCCTCCACCCATGCAATTCCTCGAGTGCCCTCGGGCCTCCAACGACCTGACTCTTCACCGGGGTCTGTGCACCCCACTTCACCCCGCCTCTCCGTGACCTCCACTCCTGCTGTCCTGTCTCCACACACGCTGCACAGGGTCCTGGAGGCCGGGGGTGTCCGGCTCCCCTTCTGTGTCAGGCACAGGGCACACGCAGTACGAAACACACGTCCAACACATGGACGTGAAAACCTGACCTGAAAACCCAAAACGCTCCAGAACTGGACCTTTCCTTCTTGGCCCACACACTGGCCGCTGGTCCCCCAACGTCACCTCAGAGCTCTCCCCTGCTGGCCATCGAAGGTGACATCGGTTTATGGCTCCCTGTGGCTGTGAGAATGTCAGAGAGCAGTTCCTCCGGGCTACCGGACCCCCAGGTCACAGCCCAACCGTCCTGAGCACCTACTATGTTCACCCAAGAACGAGGACTCCGTTTCTCCTCTCCTTAAGGTGGTCATGACAAGCAACAAAGACACGATAAAGACATCCAAATACGACGTTTTCATACAGAAACTTCAGTGGAGTCCATCTTCATATGGTGCCCTTCTACAAACAAGGCTGGGTGACCAGTGACACAAAGATATAGGGCCAGGGATGCAGCCACGACGGAGGGCACTTGTCGGGCATGCACAAGGCCCTGGGTTCCAGGAAAGAAAAGGGGAGGGGAGGCGAGGGGAGGACACAGCATATTGACATGATGACACAGGAAGATGTCAAGTTGAAGGAAGTTGAAAGAAGCACTTGGGTCTCTTCCAAAGTATGCGGAATATTGTGTACTCAGGAAAAAGACACAAAATTAAACGTTAAAATTAAAATATTGAAGAACTTCAAATAATCATACCACCAATGCTAAGGTCCAAAAGACTGACATATGACATATATTAAATCCAAGGTTCTTAACTGGGACCGGAGGGGTAACTTTGCCCCCGGGGACATCTGGCAATAAATGTGCGCAGGCATTTTTGCCTGTTGCAATCCCGTGACGTGGGTGCTCCTGGCATCTCAGGGGAAGAGACCAGGGACACTGCTGGACATTCTGCAGTGCACAGGAGAGACCCCACAACAGACTTGTCCAGCCCAAATGTCAAGAGAGCCAGGGTTGAGAAATACTGCTTTAAATCATTCTAGACATTTCCAAATGTCCTTTTGCGAAAGCAAAAGGACATTTGGAAATGTTCATTTCAATTAAACTTTGAAAACAGACGCCAATCCTTTTAGAAAGCCATAAATCTTGCCCAAAGGAAGAACTAACTGCCTTTGAAGTCACAAATAATTTAATCAGATTTTACACTTTGATGTACAATTCACGAGTGTGGGCTAAAACACATCATCTATTATCTCCATTTACAAAACCCTGGCCTGAGCTAAGTGCTATTCTGACTCCATGAAACATAGGAGTCTTAGAATTAAATTAGAAAAATGTGCCCCTCATTCTCTCCCACACACCCGGCACTGGGGCGGGCGGGCGTGGGTGGAGGACTTAATGATTCATGCTAAATGTGCAGAACTCACAAAACTTGAAAACAACTTGTATGTTCAAGGCTGCACCTTGCACAAGCTCAGGTGCCTCGGGACAAGTGAGCGAGCGGCAGACTGACACCGGACGGTCTAGGGTGGGCTAAGAGGTGTTGGGCAAATGCTGTTTCTAAGGGTTATTTACTAACACAGAAACACACCTGGAGGGTTAAGATGCCAGGTGCAGTAGCATGTACCTGTGTCTCGGCTACTTGGGAGGCTGAGGCAGGAAGATCCCATGTATTCAGAAGTCCAAGGCCAGCCTGGTCAACATAGCAAGACCCCCATCTCAATAATGAAAGAAAGCGAGGCTCAAAATTAAAACAACAACAACAAACATCCTACACCCTTTTCACCAGACATGGAAACCAGGGGATCCACGAACTAAAGCAGTTCACAAATACGTTCGATTCAGGATAGAGGAATTTTTAGAAAATTTGAGACAGAGCGTAAAAATTGGGGTAGTTTGCAATTGAAAAACCATTTGCGGATGCTCTTGAAATATCACCAATCTGGCAATATGAAGCCTGCTTAGCTCCCTTAGCCAGAACCAGCTGCAAGACAAGGCCCCAGTAGATCGGTCCACATTTTGAGAGCTACAGGTCAATCAAGACCCATTAGTGAGCTATAAGCATCTCCTTTACAATATAACAAAAACACACAGACATTAGCAATGCACCCCCTTATCAGAAGAATGAGCATGTGTGGCAGTGTTACCAAATGTGCACACAGGCAGACGTGTGCCAAGGTCGGGACAGCTGTGTCTTGCTGCTTTCTCACCACAGTCTCCACCACGTCTGACCTATGCATCTCCATAGCAGCCCGGTCCTTGGGGGACTATTTCAAGTTTTCAGTTTAATAGTGTGACCTATAAACCTACCCCCCAAAAGGCCCTAAAATAACATCGGAGGGCTGACTATGGGAGGTGGGATCGTTAGTGACTTTAGTTCTGGTAATTAACAATTATCTCACAACAAAGAAGTACTGATGTCACCATGAGATGGAGAACATAGAACCGCGTTCCCTGCTCCCTGACTGGTACCCCACAGTGGAGCTACGACACCAAAGGACCATTAGCCCCGAAAGGGGCGAGAGCAGGCCCCAGGGTGCTCCCCTAATTCACTTTAATGTCTTGCACGGCGATCCTGAAAGCCAATATTGGTGAAGGCATCAATTCTGGCCAGGAGGCCTACAGAAATGAGGAACCAGAAAAACCACTGAGAATGAGAACCACTTTGGCCATCAAGCCTGCGGGACTCCAGGAACCCGTGAGCTAACGGCTTCCCGCTGACCAAAGAGCTTCTCAGAGAGCAAATCCAGCCCGGAGAAGGAGGGCCCATGTCTGCGCCTCTAATCCTCCAAACAAAAGGGAGATTTCCAAAGTCTCTTAGAAATTTTACAGAATAACTTATTCCAATTTGTGGCTTTGTGCTGCAACTTGCGTATTTTGTCACTGTCATAAACTACTTATATGGTTTTCCTATCCTATGACATGACGGGTCTTCTCTTTAAAGCAGGATTTTGGATAAGCCACAGCTTTGCCTCCATTGTGTCGCATGGGGGCTGTTAATAGCTCCTGCTCCCTGTTAAAAAAAAAAAAAAATGCTCCTGTGACTGGGACAGCAGAGGGCAGCAGGCTGCCGTGGAAGGAAGCAGGCTCTGTGCCTCCCCTGCGCTCTGCAGGGCCCTGGATGGCACCCATGAAACAAGGACTCTGGCCCAGAGTTGCCCCTAACTCGTTAAGTCAGTAGAAGTGGTTGTCAAAGTTGGGCCACGGGCGGAATCTGACATTCCACCTGTTCCATGTGACCTGCAAACTACGAGGATTTGACATTTTTAGGTGGCTGGGAGGGAAGAAGGAATTAAAAGTTCATATAAAGCATGCAAGTCACACGAAATTCAAATTCCAGTGTCCACCAACAAGTTTTATTAGAACTCACCCACCTCATGTCTACAGCTGCAAAATACATCTTTAAGACCTAAAATATCTACTATTTGACCCCTTATAGAAACAGGGGCAATTTATAAGATTAAAATGACTCTGGCTGGGTGGGGTGGAGCATGCCTATAATCCCAGCTACCCTGGAGGCTGAGGCAGGAGGATTGCAAGATCAAGGATTGCTCTGAGGTGCAACCCCTGCCTGGCATGCCAATGCCCTGCATTTGATCCCAGTGCCACCAAAAAAAAAAAAAAAACCAACAACAACAACATTCTAAGTGTCATCCCTGTTTCCTACACTATTGGGCTCAGGATTAGCCAAGTCCCGAGCACATATTGAGCAAGAGAGTTATAATTTAGGAAAGAAACCCTGAAGTTTAAAGGGAATCTACTGGCTTCTCACCTAAAACCCCAAATGATGAGGAATTCTGTCACAAAGTCTAAGGCCATTTATCCCTCTCCTTTGCCGCTCCAGAAGGAAGAGAGAGGCTAAATTAAACACATTAGATGTGTTCTAATGGTACAAACTGTATTTTCTTGACATGTGGTCCAGGAGAACTAGTGGCACTTTACACACCAGCATTTTTTATTTTACTGTAGCAACTTATGTGTTAACATCAGTGAACTTCATGGCATTAAGGGAAAAAAAACAAGAAGCCATTTAAAAACAGGGGCTTACACCACATTTCACTTAGCAGAGGCCAAAGCTGAGTTGCAGATCCAATACCCAACAATGGAACAAAGCTCCACAGAAAGTGACGGGGACTCGCAGCGTAGCCACCAAAACTGAAATCCCACCTTCTCAAGCTGTCTATGAAAACCAACAGGCCGAGGGTCCAGGGGATCCAGACCATCACAGAACCATGCATGGAATTAAAGTAAGATTGTAAGGACCTCTGGTCAGAAACAAGGGGACAAAAGGAAAGACCTTCTGACACTGTCCACACAAGCTATGTGGCTCCAGGGACAACACCCTACAGCTGCACTGCGAGTCTGGGGGACCCCAGGGTACACGCAGAGCTGCAGTCTGTTATAACAAAGACCCTGCAGCCACCCAGCTCCAATGCTCTGCCTCCCTGCAGCCATCCAGGGACAGCGCAGCAGAATCGGTGTGAACCTCTGAGTGCACAGCCACCAAGTCCCCATCATTATTTTACCTTTAGGGTCATTAGCAGTCTCCTGAAGAGCGATGGCTGATCCTTCGGGACTCTCTTATCTTTAATGGCTCCACAGTCGTAATATACTAGTAAGTTCTATTGCTGGGCTCTAGTCTCCCATTGCTTATTATGATAAATTAAAAAAAAAAATCTGAAGTGAAAATCGTTTTATGGTGCAAGTGGGAAGGCGGGGCGTCGACTGAAGGTGAGCATTTCAGCCCCAAGTCTAAAGCTGCTGCTCCAACTGCACATGTGCTACCCCAGAAAGCACCCCAAGACATCTCAGCCTGACATTTAATCAGTGGAGATTTTACTTAAAAAATCCACATTTTCCATTTCTCTGGAAGAATATCAAGATCTGAAAGCCCCAAGGCCACATTCTTGCATGGCGGCCATGGGTGAAGTCCCTGAGATGAGGCACATGCCCTGGGTGTCCCCGTCTCCACCATTCTCAACAGCCAGCTAACCAGGAACCATCATGCTGGGTACAGAAGGTTCTCTGTGCCCATATCTCAAAGGCACAGCAACAAAAAACGTGATACCACAATTCAAGAAAAGGAGCAAAACCACTTCCTCATGAAGGCAATGACGTTCATAGAATATTCAACACATGACCGAATTCTTTTGGGGAAGAAAAAAATTCTTTCAAGTCACCATTACTTTTCTCCCTCTCAGCCAGTAGCCATCCCTGCTGACATCAGTTCCCTTACCCACGTGGGCAGCAGCACCAGGAGAAGCAGCAGCCAGCACTTGCTGTCTGGGGCACTGTCCTAAGTGCACCCCAACTCCTCTTACTTACAAGAACCTCCCAGGCAAACCGTTAAGATCCTCACGTTACAGAGGGGAAACCGAGGCACAGAGACCACAAGCACCCTGCCCCAATGCTCCACACATGTCCCTAATAAGCAATGCAACTGTGAGACAGGTGACCCTGAAGGAGCAGGACAACTCCAGGAAGACCTGCAATGGCATTTTCATATCAACTCTATTTTTTAAATATGGTGCTGAGGATCGAACCAAATACCTCTCATGTGCTAGGCAAGCGCTCTACACCAAGCCACGACCCCAGCCCCAAGGACTTTTTACCTTATGTGTTTCTGTGATATTTGAGCACTGAATGTGAATGTACTGAAAAGTCAATTTTTAATTAAAATAAAATCCTTAAAGAAGAACAGTGTTATGGGGAGTTTGCTGTGATTAGTCCAAGAGGCAGTGACATTAGAAGTGAACTCTAAAAGGATTTCTGGCCACCTCCACCCAGGTGAAGGAATGAACTCTAGTGAGCCTTTTGGAAACACTAATCTCATTTGTAGGTCCCCCAGAGCAAGGATCCCATCTAATCACTCAATGAAAATTTGCAGGCAGGGAAGCAACATCCGGCAGTTCCCGCGGAGGCTGCGTGGTTCGGGCGCTGGCGCCCAAGGGGGCAGGGAGCCATCGGTGAATGGAGCGTGAACTACAGCGACCTACAGCAACCACGTTGGGCCATCAGGCGGGAAGCCTGGTATCAGGACTCCGTGGGGACCGGCTGGTGGGAGAAGCCTGGTCCCCAGCACGTCCTCCCCAGCTCGGGGCGTGACCCTGACCCGCTAGGGCCAAACCCCACTGACCCCCCCCCCCCCTTCTGGTGAAGCAGCAGCAGCGGCCCGAGGCTCCGCCCACCGGAAACCGTGTTCCCACCCATCCAATCCCGTGACCGGCCGCTAGGAGCCGTCCAGCCCCCCTCTGGACTCGGCCCGGTTCTGGGTTCCAGGCCTGATTTCGCGGCCAGCCCCGCCCCGTGGGAGCCCTTTCCCTCGCCCACGTGGCCTGGGGTCCCCTGTCCCGCCTGTCCCCCGCCCGGGGCTGACCGGTGCTCTTGTCCAGGAAGTCCATGGACTCCTCGCTGGCGCTGAAGTGGCTGGAGGTGGCCTTCTTGTCGGCGTCCTGCTCCACGTCGGAGCCCGTGTGCACCGAGGAGTTGGTGCTCATGGGCGAGCGCGGCATGTCCGACAGCGAGATGCGGCGGCCGGCGCCCGCGCCCAGCAGGGGCTTGCTCATGAGGATCTTGGGCGAGGCCGTCATGTCGAAGTTGAGCTTGACCTTCTCCTGCTTGTCCGTCTTGGCCGTGCCCGCGCCGGGGTTGGCGGGATCCAGCAGCATCTGGTACTGGCTGTTGGGCGTGTAGGGCGTCCTGAAGGGAGAGTAATTGAAGACCCCGAACTTCCTGCGGATGTTCTCCACGTAGACCTCCATCTCCTGCATGGCGCTGTTGAAGATGCTTTTGGTCTTTTTCACGGAAAAGGGAATTTCTTTAGACATGAGGTAGCAATTATTTATTGGAACCCAGGCCCTGGGAGGGCAAAAGAGAAAGAAAGTTCAAGTCAAATTTAGTGATTTTCAAGGCTTTTTTTTTTTTTTTCCTGAATACAAACCAAATTAGCCTAGCATGTTTGCCAAGATTCTTAAATACTTATTCTTTTTTAAAATAAATGACTTGGTTTCAATGTTTAATTAACGATCCACTTAACAGGCATGTTCTGCCACGAGGACAGAACACAGAACAGCAAAACTCAGCAAAGATAGTAAAAGGATCGACAGTCTTAGTCATTTTAATCCATTAAACACACACACACTCTCACACACAATAAATCCCCTCTGGTTTTGAGCTGGTAGAGAATTTAAAAAAAAAAAAAAAAAAAGTTACTGCATTCCTCCAATGTACCCCCAAAAAGGGTATTCCCCAGATCTCCCTCAACTGCACATGGACACAAACAGCTTTCTTATTGCTATTCTAAAAGGGACTAGGACTTCGGAAACCCATTCCTAGAAGGAGGTTCATGTTTGTGAATGTGAGATAATTCACAAGGGAAAATCACTGCAAAGCAGCCCTCCGAGCCTTCAGGTGGGCACCCTCCAGTCCCATCTTCCCAGCATCCATGCCCCACGGCCCAGGACACTCCGCACAGACCCCTGACAGCAAGGGGGAAAAAAGAAAAAAACTGGCTGCTTCACAGAACCAGCGAGCCTCGTGGCTGCAGGAGGGGGCTGGCACACCTGGACAGACACTGTGGGTGATGGCACCGTCGGCACGGGGACATCAGAACACAGCCTGCAGCACTTTTGATGACCCAGCTCAAGAGGTTGTAACTGCTAAGTGGTGGGAATAAGGTCTTCCAGGGCATCCCTCTGGGTTTCACAGACAGGAGCTCAATCCAGGTATAAACCAAGGAGAAGCCAAGTGGGTGCCGGGAACGGATGCCTGCGCCTGCTCCCGGGGAGAAGCGGGCACCTACTCTCTGCCGTGCAGAGCAGTGGGAGCAGGACCTGGACCAAGAGTCCCCGCCTTCTCATGCTTTGAAAAGAAGCAAAACTGTGGGCTTCTAGCAGTACCTCTCCCCCTCGCCCACAGTCCACCCTGAAGTCCTGTGCTTTAAGAGGAAGTAAGGCATCAGTGGGGGTGGGATGGAGCACACAGGTGCCTTATTGCCACTCTTGGCTTCTGACAATAGCGGCTTGTGACAGAAACCAAAAGTGAAAGACCCTGAAATGTCCAGCTGTTCTCTGAGTGTCAGAAATGACCAGCATCCTGACAGCCACCTTCCTGCTGCGGCCTGAAGCCTTACCTCCCTCAGGATCGGAGACAAAGGCCTCTCTCCAGTCGCTCGCGGGCCGGACAGGGCGGATCTGATAGGAGGTGAAGTCCCCAAGGCCTCCCCAGTGGAGCAGACACAGTGGACCTGAGCCAAGGGCCAGGCACCACCAGGGACTCCTGAGCCTGCAGCCACATCTTGTGACCCTGTTTCTGCCCAGACTTTTGTGTGCTTCAAGTACATAACTGTCTCCTCCCAAGTTCCTAGGTGCCTTCAAAGGGGCCTTGGGAAAGTGCTTCTTTCCCTCAAAACGAGCCTAGAAAATATTTAAAGGGAAATTAGATCTGCTTTACTATATAAAGTCTCTGGGAGAGGACATGTCCTGAGAGGTCCCGAGCAGCACCCTACAGGGCCCAAGGGCTAGAGTTACACTCTCATGGTTCTAGCCAGTCTGGCTACATGCTAGCTGAGTCACCCTGGGCAAAGCACTGACCTTGCTGGGCCCCCCGTGTTCTTATCAGTAGAAAAGATAAAAGCAACTTACAAAAACAAAAATATAACCCCCCCCCAAAAAAAAAGCGACTTAAAATAGTGCCTATTGCACAAGCAGTACTCAATTAACGTTAGCTTAAAAAGAAATTCTGAGCCAGGCGCACACCTGTAACCCAGCTGGGCTCGGGAGGCTGAGGCAGGAGGATCACAAGTTCAAAGCCAGCCTCAGCAATTTAGAGAGGTGCTAAGCAACTCAGAAAGGCCCTGGCTCTAATAAAATACGAAATAGGACTAGGGATGTGGCTCAGTGTCAAGTGCCCCTAAATTCAATCCCCAGTAACTCCCAAAAAACAGAAAAAAAAAAAATCTGCAAGTATTTAATAAAATAGTTCTTTTTTCATTGTTGTTGTTGTCGTCGTCTAGTCTTTTTTTTTTTTTTAAACAGATCCTGATATGTTACCCAGGCTGACCTTGAACTCTTAGGTTCAAGACAGCCTCCAGCTTTAGCCAAGTAGCTGGTATGACAGGCCAGCGTCACCACTCCCAACCCAGTTCCTAAATTTTTAACTTGGCTGTGCATGTGCAGGTCTATCGTAAAACTTAAAAAAAAAACACAAGCAAATTCTTCTAGAAGACAAAAGGCATGCATGGGAACACGCCTGGAGTCGGGCAGGAGCCCCCAGGCCCACGCCAGCACTCACTAAGCTGACAGGAGCTGCGCGCTGAGTTCTCCCTCCGCCGACCTACCTCACTTGGGCGTGTTCAGGCTTATGTTTTAGCTCCTCCACCCCAAGGTGAGCTCCCTGAGCAAGGGACAGTAGGTTGGCCTCTGGTGTACCTCTGAACTCTCTGAGAAAGGGACAGTGCATTGGCCTCTGGTGCACCTCTGAGCTCCCCGAGCAGAGGACAGTGCATTGGCCTCTGTGCCAAGGAGCCTGGACTCTGGGTCCTGCTGCTGGGTTCCACCAGAGCAGCTGTCCTTGAGCCTGCCCCCCTGTGCCTGCCTCTGGGGAGGCAGCAACCCTTCCTGGAAAGAGGGACTCCCCTGGGGAGAAGCTCCCCAGCAGGCATGGGCAGAAAGGTGGCTGTCAGGACACAGAATGCCGGTCATTTCTGACACTCGGAGAACAGATGGACATTTTAGGGTTTTTCTGTCACTGCAGCACTGTGGACGGTCTTTACCAAATCCCCTGCCTGGGCCCCCTCACCCAAGTTCAAACTAACAGGGCAACACAGTCACTCTGCAGGGTAGGGGGTACTAGAGGGGCAGGGCAGTCTCACTACCTAACACAAAGGGCCGACTCCCCAGCGGCTCCCACCTAGAACCAAAGACTGAACCTGCAAGCTGTGGGGACAGCCTCTGCCCACCGGGGAGCAAAGCCCACGCTCTTCCTTCTCGCAACCTGAGCCACTCTCAGCGGATGGCTGTCAAGGGAAGGACCAGAGGTCTCTGCAGGATGGTCCCAGAAGAGTGAGCTGGATGATGGACTCAGCTCCTGGTGCACTTGCTATGTGGGGCAAGCACTGCTATCCCTGTCACCTACATCCCAGTGCACGTCCCCACACTGTGCCAGCCTACAGAATAGGAATTCTGGATCACCAAGACCGCTCACTTTCCCACGCTCTGATCAGGACATGGGATCAACAGGCTGCCAAGGATTCTTCCAGCTCTTCAAATAAGAACAACAACTCCTGCCCACCCCTGGGACCCGGTCTCCCACCATCCTCTCCTCCCTGCTCCCTGTTCTAATCACACACCAGGTCCACCCTTCCCTGCCTGAGCCTCTGCTCTTGCTGCCCACTCTGCCCAAACCTTTGCACCAGGCCCACCACCACCTCCTGATGGAGATGGCTAGCCCAGCGGACTCCTGGGTGTGGCCCATCTTCCCAGCCATGGTGTCTGCCTGCCTGTTCACTCCCGCGTCCCCAGCACCCAGCACCCAGGCTGAGCAGGCTTTAAATGTATACTTCTTTGAATGAAAATTTAATAAAAGAATTTCCAGCAGATTTCCAACAAGAGCCATTAAAATCCAAATATGATACCTCCTATCAAACCCAGTGCCCTATCAAGGAATTTCCATCTGGTCTCCTGACAAAGCACTGTCGGGATTCCTAATAAGGAAGTGGGTTACTTTGGAATTCACACTGTTCTTTGATCTGCAAGACCTCAAGCAACATTTCAGAATACAAACTGCATTTTCTGTGTATTCCTTGTGGGGTATAATTTGTGCTGCGTGTATTTAAACAGACTCCCCTATGCATTCTCCAAACTGCAGGGGTAGGGGCGGTCCGGTGTGTGCCTCATTTAACCCTAAGGGAACTTGCCAGGAGAGGACTGCAATATAAACCTGCTCATCCCTGTCTACCTGTTGTTCTGAGCGCAGGGGCTCTGCCCCAAAGGGAACTGCTATTAGCTGAAAGGCACTTCCCGGTGTGTGGCGGAAATGGGGAGGGCAGAGATGCTGGGAGGGGAGGCTCACACCTGTCAAAACAGCAGCCCCTGGTAATTTCCCACGTTAGCTACAGAGAAAAGGGAACAGGAGGGAACTACCCAGCAGGATGATAAGAGATTCATTTACCGGCAATCTGGGAAAATACATCTGATCCCTGAAAGCATTATTTTGAAAAGCAATTTGCACAGAGATTTAATTTATGACGGGAAAATAAAAAAATAAAAAAAGGACGGCAGCACTTAAAATAGCCCGGGAATTCATTCCGATGCCAGTTAGATCAACAAAACCACTAAAGTAGGATTATTTTCTAACGTACCTGTAAAAAAACTGAAGCCCACACATTATCAGGCTTAACACAGCACAGGAAAACATTTCCCACTACGAGATCAAGGGTTGGTATCACAACAGTAAACAAATCACAGCCATACCAGCGAACAACAAGAGGAAAAATCAGCTTTTAAAAAATGGTAATAATAATAAAAATAATAGCCATACCCTCCACCTCTTTTCTTATCCAATGACAGTGTCAAAGGTTCGGGTGAAGCTACATGTTCAAAGCCTGTTTTTAACGCCCACCTGTCGTGTTGTCCAAAGAAACGGGCATCGACCTGCCCGTCCTTATCCCTCAGGGCTTTTGCAGGCCAAAATGGAAACCCCTTCAGTTTTGCCCAGACCAAAGGATGTGGATTGCTCTAGAAGAAAAACAGAACCCAGAGTTGGCACACATTTGGCAGTGAGACACACTTCCCGGCTGGGGAGGGCGAGATGGCGGGGAGAAGGCGGCCACAGAGGCCCCGGTGGGGTTCCCCAGAGAGGGGGGCCGCGGTGCCTGCACAGAGCTGGGGAGGGCTCCAAAGGGGAGGGGACAGAACCTGAGGACAACAAAACTAGGCTGGAGTCCTGGCTCCACTGTCACTTGGATGGCTGTGAGCAAGGCACTCGCCTTCCTGCACCACACAGAGCCCTGATGCCACTCTCCCCCCAAGTGTGGGCTGACGTGCCCTGGGTCAGCACAGAGGGCAGCAGAGGATGCGTTTATTCTTTTCATTTTCTTTATATATTTTTAGTTGTAGATGGACATAATACCTTTATTTTGTCTATTTGGTTTTTTTATGTGGTGCTGGGGATCGGACTCAGGGCCTCCCACGTGCCAGGCAAGCGCTCTGCCACTGAGCCCCAGCTATCCAGGTGTTTATCTCCAAGGGCCTGAAGGGACATAGGCACGTTTTGATTCTCCCTTCACTTGCCCGGTCATGCCCCTCCAGCCCTCCATCCCCACCCCTCTACCCACCCACGCCCCATACACTTCTCTCTGATAAATACCAGTTGGCATGCACAGGGCCCTGGCTTTGACCTCCAGAGTCACAGAGGGCAAAAATAAACACCACTTTGGAAATTCAGATCCACAGTAAGAAACCAAGGTGTCTTTAGGTCCTGCAAGAACCATGATTTGTTCTCTCCAAGGAAACTAAGGCCACTTGGGGTGAAGATCTCACTTCACCTTGCAGCCTGCCATGGCCTCTGTCCCTGAGCTGGCATCTACTCTGCCCTCATCCTTCACGAGGACAAGGTGACTGTCACAGAGGATAAGATCAATACTCTTGTTGGGCAGGTGGTGTAAATGTTGAATCTTTTTGGCCTGGTTTGTCTGCCAAGGCCCTGGCCAGTGTCCACACTGGGGAGCTGCATTTGCAACATCAGGGCTGGTGGGGGGGCTGCAGCAGCAGGTGCTATGTCAGCAGGAGGTCCCTCCCCTCCCTCCCTCTGCCCCAGAGAAGAAAATGGAAACCAAGAATCCAAGGTTCAAGCATAGGCTTTGGTCTTTTTGACAGCTCTTAACATTTTCAATAAAAAGCTGAACTTTGCTCTTTGCTAATTAAAAAAAAAAGGAAAGAAAGAAAATACCACCATGGACTGGAGGAGAATCTATAACATTAATCCATGAAAGATTTCTAACCTTCTTAAAACAGGCCCAAGAAGATTTGTGGATGACACACTCATCAATACTCTCAAAACTCTCAGCATTATTCATGCACCCTGTGACCCACATCATGCATGTCCTGTCCCCCACATCCCACATCCCCCACCTCCCCCTGCCTGCATCCCACATTCCTACCAAATTCCCTTCGACTCTGGGTTCTGCAGTTCTCCCGGGTTAACTAGTTCTTGCACACGAACAGCCTAGGAGGCTTATTCTATCTAGGTTATTTTATCAGTAAAAACACGTATTAGAACTTCATCCAAAGTTTCGTCTCCTAAGCCCCCTGGAGAAGGCTGAGCCATCAAAGACAGAGTTCAGAAAATGAAATAAGGAAAGTAAATCCAACTTACACAAGGCTCGCAAAACCAGTTATCTCGTTTTTGGCAAGCAGCTAGATAACATTCTGGACATACTTCAATTTCATTCATCTGTAAAACAAAAATACATTAGAATATGTCAACCAGGAGCCTCACATCTGGGAGGCCTTCATAAATGCTTGATGGGTTTTTTTTAAAGTGTTTGTGCTTTTATTTGAATGTCCAGGGATTTGGTTTTTTTTTTTTTTTTTTGGTGATTTGGCTGTTTGCTGGATTTGGTTTTTAAGACAGGGTTCTTGCTGTGTTGCCCAGGCTGTCCCAGAACCCTGGGCTCAAGGGATCCTCCCACCCCTGAGGAGCTGGGACTGCAGGCTCACACATAGTTTGCTTAATGATTTTAATGATCTGGGCCACAGTGGGAACACCTTGGAAATAGATCCCACCTTGGCACCACCATCACATTCTGGACCAAGGACACCCCAGGTATCCAGCCCAGACTCTCGCCCCACAACAGCACATTCCCCACGCGGGGCCCAGAGCCACAGAAATCTGAACTTGCTTCAAAAGCTTCCAGAGACTTCCCTGCACTGGGTCTGCAGGCAGGTTCCTCACCCCTCCCCCGCCCCAGGAACTTGGCAAGGTCTGAGGCATTTTGGATGGTCACACCTGGGGGGTTCCCAAATACCAGTCATGCCAATTTGAGAAACTAACAATGAAACCTAAATACCTGAAGCACACCCTGGACTCAGCTCACCTGGTACCAGCGCCGCTCTCCAAGCCCTTCCAGCTGCTCTGTCCCCCAACACACCATGCTCCACTTCCATTTCTAATCACACCATCCCTACTTTATTTCCAGTGACAACAACCCAAAAATCCAACTCCTTCCCTGTCCCTTTCCTGCAGAAGACAGCACACTTCTCGAGTAACTTCCAGACTCAGAATGTACAGCCAGGAAGCTCCTTGATCCAACTTCACTGCCACCATTTCCTAGCTCAGTAACTTTAGGAAAAGATGCTCCATATTCCCTGATCCTCCCCTCTTCTTCGGAAGGAAAAGGGTGCCATCGGTACCCAACCCCAGGGTTAATAAAAAACACGGAATGAGCCAGATGACACAGTATCCACAGAAGTGAACAGCTGTCCAAGACTTGGGGAGCTGTGGCCTTCTGAGTGCTCTCTGAGGATCGACTCAACAATGCCCAACGAGGGGAGATTTTTCTTACCACCGTTTTTCAGGAGGAGAAAATGAGGCCCCGAGAAGTTGAGGAACCTGTCCAAGGGCCCAGCACCAAGGTGGCAGGGTCAGGAAGTAAACCCAGGCAACCAGGCTCCAAAGCCCTGAAGCTCCCCCACCGCATGGTGAGCTGCTGCGACTGTCTCCCACGTCAGCAGCCCCGATTTTCTCTTTATCACCTATCACCACGCCAGGGGCCACTTACTGAAAACCGACTGACTTAACTGGTGACCAAAGAAAAGACATGAGTGAATGAAGGGAGGGGGCATCTCCTCCCACCCCACTCAGCTGCTGGGCTCTTCCAGAGGCACACCGCACACAGCCACCTGTCATCCAAAAAAGGCAAACTGGTGACCACAGTGAGGGAAGACCACCTCCCCGCTATCCGCTCCCAAGCTGTTGTGTGAGGTGTAACCGCTTTTCTGGAAGTCAACCGGGAAGCATCTACCTAGCCCTCTGCCCTGTTCACATCCTCCGACCTGGTCACTGTGTATCTAAACATTGTGCAAAGTGACCATCAGAAGCAGATGGGACACCCCAAGACGGAGGGGCAACGGCATGCATCGTCACCTTAGGTAAAGTGCTGTCACAAGTAGGTTCCACTCAAATGACAAAAAATGCCCGTGGATACTACGCAGCCAGGAAAAATTCAGTTCTTCCCATGTGTTCAATTACCCAGAAAATAGAAAGTACTCGAACTTCAAGTGAAAAGGCAGTTTAGAAAATCTCACTTTCTCTCTCTGTGGACACACACAGAGGCATGTGCCTCGTGGATGCTCCCCAGCCATCCCAGGCAGGTCCTCTTAGGAAGGAAGGGACAGATGCACAAAGACGGGTCTCGGTTTGCTATTCTTACAAAGGGATCTGGTAAAGAACGCCGCCGCCCCCCCATCACTCTGGTTGCCATCTTGTCCCACCACACGGAGTCTCACAGCTCACAGACCCAACAGGTCCAGCACGGCCTGCAGAGGTCCATAGGACAGCCACTCCAGGACACCCCGGCCCCCCTACGGAACCTTTCACCCAAACCTCATCTTCAGGAGGACAGAAAGGACACCGACTCCAAGCCACAGGCTATGCAGCCAGGGCCAGACACAGCGAGCTCTAGTGACAACCAGGAAAAGAGCTCAGGACCCCGGCAGTGGCCAGAACCTCAGGAAGAAAACCACAGAGGAGCATCTTCGCCCTGAGGCCACCGGGAGGCAAAGGCGCTCATCACACCGCGGCCCCTCTCCTGTCGCCTTCACTTCCTTCAAGAGACGGGGACGCGGTCGGCCCCGCAACCAAGCCCACGGTGGCCAGGGCCCCCCACCGCGCCTTCAGATCCCAGCACCCAGCTCTGGACGCATCTACAGGTCGGCGGGAAACACATACCTCGTGTTCACAGATTTTGATGACTACTTTTGCTATTTGCGTCAATTTGTGATTTCCTAGGGGAATAAGAAAATAGGATTAATTCTACCGGAAACACTGTAACACCCCACCTTGCAGTTACATGTCCCCTGACAACATTTAGCTCGCTTTCCTCCAGCAGCTGACCAAAGTTTCTGCTTTCTAATGTCAGTTCCGATTATTCGCCCTTCAAGACCAACCAGTCTTTGATGCCTCAAGGTCATCTCCCAAACCGAGCAACTGGTGTGGCTTTCCCCAGATCATGGATTAATATCTGAAAAAGGTGTTGATCTTCTACAGGCTCAAAAGTCCTGGAGAGGAGCCTTACTGTACCCGTCACCCCAGACTGCAGCAACCCAAGAAGGCAGCGGGGACATCACCACGTGGCTGGGCCAGAGGCTTCCAAAGAATCCTCCAGTAGCCACAGCAGAAAGCAGGGAAGAGCGTTCAAGCTCAATTATCAACTAAGCCAAGGTCAGGTTCTTCCGCCAGGACACTCATAACAAAGAAGAAACCTGGACAGGTCTAACCCAAATCCTCACCTTTGCTCTAAAGCAGGGGATGAGGTAGTTAAAAAAAAAAAAAAAAATCATGCTTTCTTTGACCCTTAGAATATTTTCAGAAATTTTACATTTGTTGACAAAGAGATTTCACACACACACACATATACACACAAGCGCACGTGACCTAGATATCCAACTCTTTAGGTCTGAGGACCCTCTAACCAACAAGCCCCGGGAGCTACCAACAGCAGCCTCTCCAAACAACCGGGAGTCCCTGCTCCCCTCACCCCACTGCCCATCCCCGCGGCTGCTGGTCTTCTCCTTCCCCTGACCCCACTCACTCACTCTCTCACATGCTTGGTGGGCCTCTCTGCTCACCGCCCAGCGCCTCCCCTTTCTCCCGGCCCTGCAGTATGTGGGCTCCTGCTCAGGGAGCCCCCCTGGAACGCTGGCTGAGGGTCTGCACTACGCAGAGAACAAGGGCAGACCCACCCCGGGAGGAGTCACCTCCGGGTGCAGAGATCAAGCACATACAAACAGCACCACTCGGGAATCTGGGTGATGCAGCCAGGTCAGTAGAGAGCCCAGGACAGAGACCTCCAATGACCTGGGCCTCAGGGAAGGAGTCTTAGAGGCCGAGAGGCTGAGGCACAGGGAAGGCCAGGGAGGCGGAGGCAGGTGGAGGGTCAGCCACAGGCACCACCCAGCACAAGCACAAGCTGACCTGCAGACCAGGGCACCAGGTGGGCAGGACACGGAGAGACCCGCCCAGCCAGAGGCAGACAGAAAAGAACCTTAAGGAAGGTGCCCAGAGGAAAATCAGATGGAAATTCTCCTCCATCCTCCACATCCACGAACACACAACCGTCAGCACTAGATCCAGCACATAAAGGGCTCCGGCAGCGAGCCACAGAGTGCAACAGCCCAGCTGAAGTGAACAGTCGGGGGGTTTCACCCCAACACACAAATCACTGTGAAGTACATGAAATGACCACTCAGTCCCTGGCCATGGGGAAAGGGCAAATCAAAGCCCCTGGTGTCATAGGAGACATTTCACGTCACCCAAGAACGGCCTCGTCAAAAAGCCAGGCAGGGCCAGGATGTGGGACGCTGGACATCATGTGTCTGCCCGTGGAGCACCCTGACATGAGCTCTGTGCACGCACTGGGACAAGAGTGCTCATGAAGATGACCCACTCGATGGTGCAGCACCAGACAGCCAAGAGCCACGGGCACACCTGCCCAGACCACGGGCACCACAGGAGTGCCCGGCAGCTTCCTCTACAACAGCCCAAAGACGGAGACCACCGGAACGTCCATCATTAACCAGGGGAAGGGACCGACCTCGGCGTGCTGACCACGGGAAAGATCACCTGGCAACTACAAAGGCGCGATCCTCAGTTACGCCAAATCCCAACGCAGGGTGTGCGCCCCCACACCGAGAGCACCCCCAGCCCCGTCCATCTGGAACTCTAGGCCAGAGAGGGAGAGCAGAGCTCCGGCAGAAAGAGGTGACTGCGAAGCCTCCACCTGACCTGAGGTGTGGCCCTGCGCTCGTCCAAGTCACTGAAGGTGCTCATGAACCTGCGCATTTCCCTGACATTTCCACCTCCGTTCAATTACGGAGTTTGGAGAGGACCGTGAGAGCGCACACCACGCATCACGGAGCCGCGGACGTCGGCTCACGCCTTACCGTGCACGTCGCCCTGGCCCCGTTCACACGCCACGGCCATGCGCACACAGTGTCCTTGGTCCCCCGAAGCCTGATGCTCGACTCTGCAGCCCGGTTCTTCGCGAGGGGCAGCAGAGCGCGCACCAGGTGCGGGGTGCCCTCTCCGGGCGCCACGCAGCCACTCACCCCCGTTATAAATGATGCAGTTGTGCAAGATCCACTTGGCGTCAGCTAGGAAGGCCTCCGTGCAGCCGTACATTTTCTTTTTAGCGTTCTGGGAAGAGAAGCCACGGGGCACAGTAAGCAGTGGCTCCACCCCGAGCAGATCCACCTGCCCCTCGCACCATCCGCTCACCACCACTCATTCCCCATGATCCTATTATTGTGAGATCTATGACCCTATTTTAAAAAATGCACCACTGAATTCATTACAGGAACTTGAATTTTCTCATCTTAACGCTGCTGTCATTTGTTAAGAGGTTCCTTCCAAGAAGAGATCGATTTCTCTATTTGTATTTATTATAAAGACAGGTCTCACATGAGCCTCCTGAAAACTCAAGGAAGCACACATCACCATCCCCACTTCACACAACACTATGCCAACAGTATGAAAGATGTATCCTCATTCTTCTTTGGTGGGACTACTAGGGAAGAACCCAGGGGCACTCTACCATTCAGCCACATCCCCAGTCTTTCTTTTCATTTTTTATATCATTTTGAGTCTGGGTCTCACTAAGTTGCTGAGGCTGGCCTTGAATTTGCGATCCTCCTGCCTCAGCCTCCTGAGTCACTGGGATGTCGGTTGTGCACCAACACACCCAGCAATGTGTCCTCTTCATGGATACTTTTCATTACCCATACTGAGTTAATGGTTTGAGATCAGCACCATGGTGGTGTGTGCAATCTAAAGTGTTACAAATATAATTTTCACCATGGAATTTTAGCATGAACTCGGAAAAACACCTCCGGGCATTAACAAAATAGCCTTATCGGCTGAGAAGCCGATTCTAAGAAGCCACGTCCTTATTGCTAATCTGGAGGTTTCCCAGCTACTTAAATGTTCTCTTCTTCCTTCCTGCTGCTCTCATTAGCACCTCCAAAAGAAAGAGAAGAGGACGTAAGGCGCGAAATCGATCAAATCGCTAATTCCTAGAAGTACGGCTCTTTCAGGTAGAAGCTGGAATCACTCCCAGAAGAGCAGTGAGCACATCTCCCAGGGCCCCCCTCAACCCCCGGAAGGACGTCACAGGGGAAAGGAAGTGAGCGGACCAAGAGTTCTTCTCTCCAAATAAAACTGATCTAACTTGGAAGTGAGGGGCTGCCTTGGCATCTCCACACCCGGGGGCCAGCACGGGAGGCTCTGCGGCGGAGGCCAACCTTTTCCAGTGTACAAAGGTCCATGGGGTGGAAAATATATTCTGCGTAGTCGGGATGCTGTTCCAAGGGAACGGGCTTCTGGAATGCATCTGTCTGTAAGAGAAAAGGTACACATGCACAGGCCAGGAAGACCACGCTTCAGCCAACACGGGACCGAGAAGCTGAAGAGAGCCTCTCCAAGACTGCCAGGAAGGAGGCCGCGGGCAGCTCCACTGGCCACCGTCCCAGGCTGCCTGGATGTTGGTGATCCTGGGCCCAGATGAACTGCTTGGGGTTTTGTTATTTGCTTCGCTATCAACATACACCCAAGTAGCAGGTTCTGTCCCCTTCCAGTGAGGCTGAGAGTCCCAACACACCAGGGGTCACTTTAGAGCTAGGCCACACCCTAGAGGACTCATCACCAAAAGTGACTTGAGGGGGAAATGTGTTCACACCTAAAGATGACACATCAGACAAAGTCTCTTGGGTGCCAACAGGTGTTTCTGATACGATGGGAAATCTAGACAGTGAGATTCCGTTCCTCTTTTCAGAGGTCAAATTGCCTTCGGTACAAGAAGTGTGCAAAAAGTCTTCACCCATTTGCTTAAGCTCTAACTTGACTCAGCTCAAGATGGCTGGGTGGTATTTACTTAGTAATTCTTTTCTTTTTAAATCCAAAGATTTAATTAAATACCAAATTATACCCAACCAAAGAATCGGAACAGATTTCCTTTTGCAATCACCTGTGTTCACTTTAATCCAGAATGAAAGCTTGACCACTGTAAATTTAAAAAATGCTCCAGAGCAGGGGTATGGCTCACGGGAAAGGCACTTGCCTGGCGTGTGCCAGGCCCCGGGTTCCAGAATGGAGGTTTCAACAAAATCGGCGACTTTACATCAAACAGAGTGAGAAAGTAAAGCTTTCTTCTATTTGTCCTTTGGTTTAAAACTTGACAGAGCTGACAAATCTACATACTCTGTTCTTTTTGTAAATAGTAGGTCACGTTCAATCCCTCCACAGTAAAAAAAAAGATTTTAAAGATTTTTTTTTCTTTTTTTATGGTTCCAAGGATTGAACCCAGGGCCTCATACATACTAGGCAAGCTCCGTCCCTGGCCCAAGATTTTTGTTTTTTAACTAAACTAAAGCTACTAGCACAGCTTTGCTTCCATTGATTGAGATTTAATTCAAGAGATAAATAGGTAACTACTTCAATATCTAACTGGCACATCTTAAATTTCATCATCATATCAAATTTCAGAATCTCTCAAAGCAAAACTTTTATTTGTTTAAAGAAACAAAACCACAGTGGTCACTAAAAGCAGCGAGATACTCGGCTACTGCATATGCCCTTGACTTAGAAAGCAAACCCAAGGACAGCACAGAGGGTGCTCTGGGCAAATCAGAAAGGAGGGACCCGTCCTTCAGTTTCTTGAGATTCATCTGGAGGGAGACAGAGTCCTAATATGTCCATTGTATCATCATATTATTTTTGACAGAAGATATTCCTCTGCCATTTTCCTGAAAACTATCATAATAACAACAGACACACCTAGGGTATGGCGGGCCCTCCCAGCAGGGTGCCATGTGAGGCACAGCCAAGCAAAAGTAGCAGAGGCTGTGCAGCAGGACTCATTTCACAATTGACGGAACTAACCGAATTCTCACCCATTATGGAAATCTCCCTGGTTCCACACCAGACCTCAGTTATAAATAAACTGGGACGCCCTCCTCTCCCTGAAGCGGAATTCATCCAGGCTGAGGGAGGGAGCACGCAGCCCTCGGGGCCAGGGGGCTGTGAAGTTCTACTTCTCAACCCATCAGGACTTTAAGGCCCCGCTGAGGACCGGACCCCGTGGGGACACGGAGAGCTCACTACAGAGAACTCACTGGATGTCACCGTACCTGAGGTTTACTTGACAGATTTAAAATGGGGACACACAAGACAAGTCCAAAGAGCCCGGAGAGGGATCTGAAAAGCAAAGCCGACGAGCAACGCGGAAAGCTGCTAACAGAACTAAACGGAGTCTTATCTTCATTTACGCTTACACCGGCGGACCGATCCTCTTACCCCTGGCTGTTTCATTTTCTGAATGGCAAACTTGAGCAGGTAGGAGAGCTGTTCAATGGTGAGCATTGTCATGGCTTTGCTCTGGGTCTCGATGCACTCTGCTACTGTAATCTTCTACGAGTCAAAAATCATACACACACATCCGGTTAGAAAAAAGAAAATCACAGAGCCACGGGTTTATTCTCCTTCTACTTTTTCTTTTCTTTCTTTTTTTTTTTTTTTAACATACACATAAAAAGAGATTCCCATCTAAATGTGAATCGCTGTTTCCCTTGGCAAGGACTCCAATCTACCAGACCAAAATATACTGGATCTGTGGGTAGACATTAGAAAGCAACCACCCACTGACTACCTTACAAGGAAGTGTCTCCAGCTCAGGGAGACGACAGGATCTGGGGGAGGTTGGGGGAGATGGGAATCTGGAAAAGCATCCTTATCCCAACCTTGGTTCTCAAGAAGGGGATGTGAATGGGAAGGTCACCGATGCATTGGGGCGGGGGGGGATCTCCTCACAAGATGAACTATCATCAGCTGCTAATCTCGAGCCTCTTGAGAGTCAGAGCTATCGTGCAGGAACGTGGCCCAGCACTGTCTGATGGCAAGAGACAGGCTCCCTGCAGGAAGAACCCAGGGGTGGAGTGGACTAATAATTAATAGGACTCCATTGTTCATCAGCACTGATGTGAACTCTCTTGGGATTCATGGGCACATTTCCAAAGGGCAGAATCTACCTGTCTGTCCACACAGGCAAGAGATGTCATTTCATAAGGGAAAATCCCATCAAAGAGGAGACAGAGAGAGATGACGGAAAGTGGATTCTGCCATGGGACTGTGATACCATATCTCGGGGATTCAAAGGCCCATGTCCCAGCAACAACAAAAATAGCGTCCGCTCCTAAGTCATGAAATGTTCCTCAGCCATCTGTGGAAGGAGCGCGGATAAGTGTTCTTGGATAATCTGGACTGTTTCCACTCTTCACTTCTCTGGGAACTCTCAGATGTGTCTGGCTGGTTGTTGAGGAGAAGGACCACCCAAGAGTCACTAGGAAGTTAGAAAGGCTGCACGATGCACGCATCTCATTCCTGGGCTACCAGAGCCTGAAGAGCTAGTCTTGCCTTACCAGGCGACCCTGGAAGAAAATCAGGCTGTGGATCGTGCACGCAGAACTCCTGATGGTTTGAATTCCAGACTGATGCTGGACTCCACCCAAGGAGAACACTCGGGTTACATGCCCAACTGTCCCTCACTCCCTCACCCCCTGCTCCTTCCTCCTGGCTGGCACCGCCTGGAAGTGCTACATGAAGCCCTTAGGAAGCCTTTGTTGCATAGGAACTGAGGATCGGAAGCTCACCCCGAGGCCAGGGTAAATCAGCTAGAGAATGAGGATAAAATCCTTCTGCTTGACAAAGAGATGCCAGAAGTGTCTTCCTCTTAGACTAGGACTCTTGTCTATCACACATGCCACTGGAGCCCACCTAGGGCCTTGAGAGGGACACGTGGTCTCAGGATGAGATGGAAAGGGCCTGACTGGGCACCAGCTGGGACGGCCCCGTCTCTGGGCCCTTCCCACACATGCTGACAATAAACCCCACCGCTTTAGGCACAGTTCGAAGGAGCTCTCCCTGCAGAGGAGGCGTCCCAGGGGAACCACTACCTGTTCTGCAATGGGATGAAACAAATGGGAACAGTCGCTTAGGACCAAGGGACACCGGTGGAGGTTCCAGGTGGCGCTCTGGGTGTAGCAGAACCAGACCTGGCTCCAAACACGCCCAGCCCACCTCTGTCTCCGTAGAAGAGTGACCAAGGGAACCAGCAGCCATCTTCCAGCCGTTTTAGAGGCAGAGTGCCACCCCAGGGTCGTCACCAGACCGACTCGATGCCTGATTTCTTTTCACCTATTTTCTATTTTCCTCCTTCCCCTGCACAGAAGTGGTGGCAGGGACACTATCTGTGACTTGTTTTCTTTTCCACAGAAGACACCCGGGCAGCCCCGCCACGGCTCCCCAGACGTGTCTTCACGTGAGATCTGAGGCCAGCGTGCCTTGGGATCCAAGAGACATTCTGCTCTAAGTGACTTTCAGATGACTCTCCTTTTCAGCATTCGAAAGAGCCTCCTAGTCCAGAGTGGCCAAGAACAGATGCCGCCTCAGAACCCTGCAAGTCCAGGGACTGGTCTAATAAAGAGCGGGAGCTTGGCTTCGGACAGCTCTTGGCTACCCATGAAGCCTACGCTGCCTTCACTGCTCCCCTGCTCTGCCCAGGCCGCACCCCTGCCCGGAAGGTTCCCCCAGACAGCAGGGCCCACCTCCATCAGCTCCTTCTCAAATCTCAGGGGGCCTTCCAGGCCTGGACATTTAAAATGCAACGCCCTGCGGCTCCTGAACTCCCTACTCCCCATCTTCAGTTTGCAGCTTTCTTCAAACTCATTATTTCTAACTTGATTTTCTCTTCTGTCCTTTTCTGTTAAAAGGAAAGTGATCCGTGCCTACTTTTCTGAGCACTATCCGATCTCCCTTAGAAATACTTGTTGCATGAAAGAAAGACTCAGATGGCACGGCCACCACCCAGAACACAGGACCCAAACTGGGCGTCCCAGGTCGGCGGCGGCTGCTGATCCCATGACGCAGCAGGGCACACCCAAGAGAAGCTGTGCGAGAGCGTTTCAGATCGTGTGAACTGTCAACGGGTTCAAAAGTTATCGTGTAAGACGGGCATTCGAGAAGGAGCAGACAGCGGCAGAGCTCGAAGCGACTCAAAGACTCGAGAAGAACCCAGACAATATTCCATCACTTCTCCAAGAGCTGCAGGACCGCAGCCAGGGGCAGATGCTGGACCAAAAGGGGGGTGGCCAGGACAGAGCGGGTGGGAGGCAAGAAGTGTCTCTTTTCCCCTTATCTGGGTTATTGGAAAGTTTGTAAGTCAAAGGAAGAGAAGAGAGAGGAAACGAAGCAGGTAATGTATTCATTCGTTGGGAACTAACCTCACATTCAGGACAAAACCAGTCCCCCTCTGGTTCCGATGTCAGTCTCAGACACTTAGCGTGATAAACCCGGGGACAGAGCTCACAGCAAAGGACTTGGCCTTCCCGGTGACAAACCCAGCAGTAGAAATCATTCCGTCCATCCTGCGGTACAACATCAACAGGGTCTGTGGTGAGTGGCTGCTTCATATAGTAAAACGGACCATGTCTTAGTTCTGACTGAAATGTAGGCAAGAAAGACAGGTTTGGTTTCAAAACAAATGTGCATTCTCAACAGGAATTTGAACAAGTACATCAATAACAACACAAGAAAATCACAGCATTTCACATCTGCTAAACAGTCGAGCTAGCTGCGGTTCCTCTACTGTCCACAACATTAGCAGGTCATTGGGTAACTATGAGGGTCTTTCCTCCCTCCCATTTTAAAAGGCCATAGACTGAACACTAGTGTCTCAGAGTCACCAGGTGGCCCTGGCCTACGTAGGTACAAATTTTAACTACCGCTAAACAGCCCCATGACCTTGGACGGGTCTCCCCACCTCTGGGCCTCAGTTTTCTCATCTGTAAAATGAAGGTGAGTTATCTAACGTCACGGGATTATGGGGCTGTGTTCAAATGAGAGGATAGAATGTATGGAATTAACACGGTGCCACCATCACCAATGTCGTCCCCATGGTTAAGAGCCCAACGTACACAAGTTCACGTTTACAAAGCCAACCAAAAAAATGTGCAATCTGCCCTGGGAGTCTTCATACTGTAGGCACTTAGAGAATATAGCAATTGGATTTGAGTGACCAAAAAATGATCTTCCATTTTTAAGGCCATCCCCAAGGCACAAAGTCATGAACCAACAAGAACCTTCCTCAAGTCACGTCTCTTGAACACTTTAGGCCCCTGGAGTTGCCAGAGAGCCTCAGCCTTCATTACAAACAACACAGGAAGATGACTTGGTGGCAGGTCCAGGGACACCAGAAATACAGGAAAGCCATCCTCCAAACACATAAAATCACTCAGAAGAAACTCATTAGGAAAACAGCCATCACCCTCCAATACGGAATCCTATTTAAACCTATGATCAAGTCCACGGGAAGCATCAAACAGCCCGGTAACTAGCGGTGTGATCGAGAAAGCTTGGCGCACAACTGTAACCCCAACTCGGGAGGCTGAGGCAGGAGGATCAAGTTCGAGGACAGCCTGGGCAACTCAGTGAGACCCTGTCTCAAAAAACTTGTTTTAAAAAGGGCTGGGGCCAGGTGTGGTGGTGCACACCTATAATCCCAGGAGCCTCAGGAGGCTGAGGCAGGACGATCACAAGTTCAAAGCCAGGTCAGCTACATAGCAAGGCCCTCAGGACTACTGAGACCCTGTCTCAAAATAAAACATAAAAAGGGGACTGGGGATACAGCTCAGTGGGTAGAGTATTTGCCTTGCATGCACAAGGCCCTGGGTTCAATCCCCAGCACAGTAAATAAATAAATAAAGCACAAGAAGGGATAGGGATGTGGCTCAGGGTTCAGCACCCCTGGGTCCCATCCCCACTACCAAAAAATAACAATGATAATAAAACAGGAAGAGTGCAGTGTGACCGCGAACCTCCCTTACTTGCAACCATGTCTACCGTCAAACACAAGCCGGATCCTTTTGGCCTAGTTTTTGTTTTCTTGATGCTGGGGACTGAGCAGAAGCCAGGTGACTGATCCTTCAGCATGAAGTTTCTCTCACACCCCGTCACTATCCCATCCCCCACTGTCCCCGGTGGCTGTCCCAGTCTCCAGACTCCCTCCTCTCCTGGGGCAGCCCTGGGTGCTGAGAACCAGCTGTCTGATTAATCACCTGTCACTCAGATCCTTTCCTTATCTGCTGCTTGTAAGTGTTACCTGCTCCATAAAAATAATCTGATAACAAACATGGAACACTTTTAAAAGCAAATCATTTCAGGCAAAATGAGTTATGATTTTTTCTTCCCCACAGGGAAGCAGCCAAGCAGGCAGATTACAGCCTGTGATATCATGGGACAGTTACAGGTCCTGAGAGCACATGTTCTTATTCTCTGCCCTTCCATGGGCTGGCATGACAAGAAGAGTGGGAAAGACCCTTCTGTTCACTTCTGGAATCTCTTCGTGCACACCAAGAGCCGGCAAACACTTTCTACAAAGAGGTGAGGCCTGGCAGGCCACTCGGTCTCTACTGACAGTGCTCAGCTCTGGCCATGCAGTGCAGCCACAGAGCTGTGTGCTAATAAAACTTTATAAAAACAGGCTCCTGGGCCACAGGCAGCAGTCGCCAACACCTCGTCTACATCCACCCGAGCACGGGTGCTCTGGACCTGCACTTGTGTGGTAGAGTGGAGGCCACAAGCTCAAATGCTTGCAGAGGCCACTCAGGTGGCACAGATGAGTGACAGCACCGTGCATCAGCTTTTGTCCTGCATTTGCAAAGGAGTGGGGCTGACTGCAAAGCCCGTGAGAGCCACACAGCCCTGGAACCAGCCGGACCCCGGAGTGAGGAACCCTCACCAGCCTGGACATGAGTGGGATGGTGGGCAGAGCCCACGCCAACCTATGGGGTCCCCACCAACTGTTCCAGCGGTTAATATGCTGCCTACTCCAAGCAAGGACTGCTGTGAGAAGTGCTAGTTTGTGTTTTTGTGGGTTGAGGTTTTTCTATTTTATTTTTTTTTTTTTTGGATAGTGGGGAGGGAACCCAGGGAACCCACCTATATGGCAGGCAATAGCTCTACCACTGAGGTACGTCCCCAGCACAAAATAAAGTATTTTAAAGCTCTTCTTAAATCCCCGCCCTGGGGTAGGTGTGCTCCACCAGTAATCCCAGAGGCTCAGGAAGCTGACGCAGGAGGGTCCCAAGTTCAAAGCCAGCCTCAGCAACTTAGCGAGGCCCTAAGCAACTCACGGAGACCCTGTCTCTAAATAAAATATTAAAAATGGCTGGGGATGATGTGGCTCAGTGGTTATGCGTCCCTGGATTCAATCCCCAATACCAAAAAAATTTTTTAAAAAATTTTTTTAAACTCCTCCTGGGGATACAGCTCAGTAGTAGAGCAAATGTCCAGCCTTCAGAAGGCCCTGGGTCTGATGAGTACCACCACAGAAAGAAAAAAGTAAAGAAAAAAAAAGAACAGAAAGCCTCCCTCTAAAAGTCCTGAACTCCCAATACGTGAAAAAGAGACCAAAAGTGCTGCACTTAAACTTGGCTCAGCTCTTGATAATCACAGGTCTCCATCAAAAATGGAAATGCATGGTCTGTTTTTTACAAGGCCAGAATGGCTTTCTTTCAGAACACTGGAAACAGAAAAAAACCTGGGGGCAGGGAGACATAGGTCAAAAGTCCCGCCCCCTCCCCCCAGAGGTGGAAGGGTTGAGCAGAGCTGACTGCTAGTGACACTCTAGGGAGGGGTGGGGAGTGGGGCTGCAGGCTGACACCAGCTCAGCCCAGCGTCTGCAGGGCAGAGTCTACTCAGCCCTGGCTGTTGCTGGATTCTGCTGAGTGCTTCGGTCTAAATCTTTGTGTCTCCCTCAAAATTCCCAAGTTGGTATCTTCTAGAAGGCGGTGCCTCTGAGCACTGATGAATGGGCCTTATCCAGGAGGATACCAGAGAGGCCCTCGCCCTCTACCACAGGACACCCTCTATCACACCTCTATCACGGAACTCAACTGTGATGGCGCCTGATCTGGGACTTCAGCCTCCAGAAATTCCTGCTGTTGGTAGGTCACCCACCCATGGTGCTTTGTCACAGCCAATCAATCAAACAGCTAAGACACTTAGTGTTTATAAGAACCCAGAAATGCAAGCTTTTATTTGAAATCTCACGATCCTCAGGTTGGTGACTGAAGAAATCATGACATATTGGTCAAACCAACATATGGGGAAGGGGAGGGAAAGGAGAGGGAGGAATCCAGGGGCCGGGGCTGGGGCTCAGCGGCAGAGCTCTCTCGTCTAGCACGTGCGAGGCCCTGGGTTTGATCCTCAGCACCACATAAAAATAAATAAACAAAATAAAGGTATTGTGTCCAACCACTTCTAAAAAATAAATATTTAAAAAAAAAAAACAGTAGGTATCCAGTGTTTCTTGTAAGTTCCCTATGAGGAAAACAGAGATTGCACATGAAGAATATTGGCCCTACTCTGCCAGCATTTAAAAAAATGCTGTTAGGAATGACAGGGTCAAAGGTCAGGGACGTCTTCCGGTTTCAGTGAAGGTCGCTCCATCTTTGCCAACAAAAGTCTCTGGGCCTTTGTGCCTTGGAGGTTTGGATCAGAAATGCAAACGTGCAATGGACCTTAGGATGTTCTAGTCCAAAACCCTGTTTTAGGACATAACTGAAGCTCAAAGAGAAGGCCACTGATGTGGCCACCCGGTGAGTCCCCCAGATGCAGTGAACTGGAAGGATCCTGTGTCCAAGAGGAGCACCTCCCCCATCTGTGGATACTGGAGAGGACAGGAAGTGTGCTCAGGCCCTGTGTCCCCCGCCCTGGCTCTGCTGTGTCCATGGCCGAGTGCCTTCTACATCCCACCCTGTGTCAGGCCCTGAGGTGACAACAGCCCTGCACATTGGCTCCTTCTCTGAGGCTGCTAGTCCAAAGCAGGGGACACCAACTTACAGACACATCAGTTGGTCATGAGGTTTCTGTGCCACAGAAACGGTCTTCACACAGGGTAAGAAGGCAAAGCAGCAAATACCCGAGCGGATTAGCTTCCAGAGAAAGAACTGTGAGCAAATTCTTAGAGAACAGTGGGGACTCCCACAGTGGGTGTGTGTGGGTGTGCATGGGTGTGCATGGGTGCACGGGCAGAGGGAGGGGACAGGAAAGGACAGCTTCCGGCCAGGAAGGACATCTGCTCTCAGGACTCCCTAGGAACTGGAAAGGGAGTGTTGGCTCAGGAAGCCAAACTGGTGGCTTAATTAAGGGCTGAGGGTTATCTGACCGCCATTTTCTTTCTAATAGCTCTGAGATGGCTCCGGGGCAACTGCAGCAGGTCCTCACCAGCTTCTGGGACAGAAAAAGCATTTCAATCTCTGTGTTTTCAACTGTAAAATGTGACGCACACAAACATTCAGACTGACACAAATGTTTGCAACAGCAGGTGACATGGGGCAAACACTGCTTCGGTATCATCATCAACGCTTTTTATTTCCCCAAGTATTTTTTCCAAGAGCCCCTGAAAACACACGTGGGACCCCCAGTTGCTCCTCCTCCGATGGGATCCCTAACTGACGAGGCAGCTACCAGCCACAGGCAGCCACGTCACTTTAAACAGAATGGAAAAGACCAAGTTGCTCCCTGACACTGGTCGATTTCGAGGGCTCACAAACCACACGTGACTGTGTCGGCAGCAGACCGCGGGGTCTAGGACACTGCCACAGAAACAGCCTGCCTCCCAGGTCGAATGTCAAATCACACTCTGCTCTTGCCCTGTGTCCATTAGCTCCATGAGTCTCCACGACAGCCCCGGGGCCTGAGCAGCAGCGCCAGGACGCCCAATTCCGTGAACAAGGAAACCAGACCCACGGAGGTCCACGTGCCCACAGTCACAGGGCCAAAGGCAGAGCTGGCAGTTCGCTCTATAATTTTGAGAATGAAAATAGATTTGCGCTGGACACACGCCTCTCCCAGGCCGGGCACTTAGCGTGGCAGGGCTCTTCCCGTGAAGGCAGCAATCTCGTCTAATTCGACCCTCCATCCCCAGGGCCCACTCCAGTGCCCGACAGAGCACAGAACAGATGAGCAGGCCGCCAGGAACCGCAGCTCAAGAACCACTCAAGGCCCCCTGACCTCGCAGTCCACACAGGGGTGGACACTTCCGCCAGTGAGTCCACAGTGCTCTCACGTCCCCTATTTGGAATGTCTAAGCTGCACCAGAGAATTTTAGAGCCAGAAGGTTCCCTAGATGAGACTCAGGGTGGTGAAGAGGTTTTCCCAGCCTCTGACAATCCTGTCAGCCAAGGGGACGGGACGGGGAGCCTGTGCTCAGGAGAAGGGGAGGTGACCCTTGGGCCATGCCTCTACCAGGGGCCCACACCCTTCATTTTACAGATGAGAAAACGAGACCGGCAGGGAGCTGTGTCGCCCAGCACTGGTCAGCAGGGGAGATCCTCAGGCCACCGGGAAAACAGTCCTCAGAGTACGGCAACGTGAAGCCAGGGAGAAGCCCCAGCCCCGAGAACAATATCCTCATCTCCTCTGGGTCACTGCTCTGTCCCCAAACAGATCTGAGAACCCCTGGAAACCTCACACAGCCCCTCTGCGCTGCCCTTTCTGCACATGCAAATGGCAGGCAGCGCCAGGGCAGCCTGCTGAACAGATGCCAAGCCTGGCCCCGAGGAGCGGAGCACGGCTGCCCGCTGGCGGCCCGTGCCACGCCGCGCCCGGCCGCGGCCTTACCTGCTCCTTGCTGTTGCTGCTCAGTAAGCCGGGCTTCTTTTTCTTTTTAATGGGGCTTGTAGAGGTGTCCTGCGGCGAGTGGCCATTGGAAGAATGTGGGGGGCTGGGGAACTTTCTTTTCTGGGCTATTCTGTCTGCAGAGCCAGGATCTGAAAGAGACACACAGGACCACACATTTTAAAGCACCAGGGTGGCCAGGGTCCCACAGGAGGGAGAGTGTGATGGGGTGCATTTTTCCCCAAACTCAAGGTCATTTGCAGGTATACTCCTCCTCCTAGAATATACCTGCCCCCCTTTTTGTTGTCGTCAAGGATGCGCATGACTTTTTTTTGGGGGGGAGGGTACTATGGATTTAACCCAGGAGCACTCTGCCACGGAGCTATATCCCCAACCCTTTTTTAAAATTTTATCTTGAGACAGGGTCTTGCCCAGGCTGACCTTGACCTTGTGATCCTCAGCCTCCCAATGAGCTGGGATTACAGGCATGAACCACCACACTCCACTCCCACGTGATATTTTTATGAAATCTTGGTTGGTTGCCCCCAAACAAAAAAAGTTCATGGCCCACAGGCCGTGACGACACCAGATAAAGTGAGCAACAATCCCACGTCGGGGTGGGAATGAGCCTCCACCTTGCACACTCATCACCGGTCCCGACTGTGTCCCTGCTGACAAGGCCGCAACCAAGCTCCTAGGAGCTGTCACATAGTCACCCGCGCTGTTCGCATGCCCAAGAACTTCTTTTCCACACCCACAAAAATGGCCAATCAGGAAACGATGAAAGGCAGGTCACCAAGGCCACACACCAGGGCAAGGACAGCACCTTGCTCTGTGCAGAAAAGGAGCGCTGCTGTGTATGCTCACAGCTGACAAAACAGAAGGGGTAAAAAGAATGACCCTGCCCACCGGAAAGTTCTCCTGGCTGTCAGCAGTGGGCACTCTGAGACCTTCCTCCCAAGAAATCAATACAAATTACATTCTTATTGATTCTCGCCTGAAAAGTACCAGCCCCCCTCTTACCAGACCCCCCTCGTTTCCAGCCTCCCTCCCAGTCAGTGTCTCAGTGCATCCTTCTACCACCGTCCATTCAGTCTTCACCTGCAAGGACCAGAGTCCATCCCATGCCCCAAGGTGGCCTCCTCGGCTTATGGACAATAGTGGCGCAGCTTGGGACAGCTGACATCCTGAAGAGCAAAAGCTACAGACACAGGAGAGCGGAGAGCAGAGAGCACACCCCGCGCACCGGGCTGGGACGGGATGTGAGATACAGGAAGATGACGATCTCCAAAGATGTTCCTCCTGCAGCTCACCACCGGGCAAGTCTCAGCACGCACATCACCCTGCACCATCTCCCGCCTTCAGGGGAGGGGGACTGGTCCAACATCACCGAATGCAAGGCCTCCCTTTGATTTGGGAGGGCGGGCAGGCAGCCTCTAGCAGGTGCACAAGGCCTGACAATGAGCGGACTCTCCTGCCTCACCACCAGGCTTCCAGAAAGTTCTGAACCAATGATGGGCAGACCAGTGATGAGAGGAAATTCAATGCTAACCACAGGTGTCCTGAGGGTGAAGAGCCCAGGGTCTGGGGGAGCATCCCACAGACACCAAGTGGAGGCCCAGAAAGCCCAAAGGGTTGCCCCCGAGGCACAGGAGCTAGTTAGTGAGAAAGCTAAAAGACAGAACCCGGCACAGGCTCCGGGAGTAGGGACCGTCCCCCAGGGAAAAGGGCGTTCCCAGAAGGGTCCTCTCCACTGTCTGACGGGAAAACTCACTTTCTCCACGCTGCCTGGCTCCAGGGTCCCCTCCTGGAGCAGAGCGGGAACAAGAGGATCCCACTCATCCACCGTGGGTTGTGCCCAGAACTGGACAACTTAGGTGTCCACGAAGAGCCAGTCCACAGACACAATGGAATGCTCCAGCCCTTGAGAAAGACAGGCAGCCCGGTGCCGTGACCCACACCTGTCATCCCCAGTGACTCGGGAGGCTGAGGCAGGAGGATGGCAAGTTCAAGATCAGCCTCCGCAACTTAGTGAGACCTGTCTCCAAGTAAAAATCAAAAAGGGCCGGGGATGTGCGAGGCCCTGGCGTGTTCCCTAGCAATGCAAAACCAGAAAGGATCCAAAGGGCACCTCCCCATGAACTGACATTGTCAAGCTTCGGTGCCACATTGTAAAAGCAACAGGTATCCAGCACATTAAGGGACCCGTAAGGATGTGACTGTACATCGGTGCTTGTGCATCCTCAGAAGACTCTCACATGAACACAAAAATACAGCAGGGCTCTACATGGGGACAGGTGGCCGCCTTGGAAGGAGACCTGTAGGGAGCAGAGAGAGATTATTTTTCACTGTATACCTCTGTGTACTGTATTCACTATGAGCCTGGATGACTTTATCAAAATAAGGGAGATTAAAAGTATTTATAAAGTTCAGTTACACATTTAAAAAAAAAGAAAGAAAGAAAGAAAGCAGCAGGTGCGAACCAAAGCCCCTGATGAACGAAGGAGGAGGCCCAATTCAGGATAAAAAAAGTCCCAGGTGATAAAGTTGGGACTGGATTGAGAACCACAGAAGGCACTTGGGATTTGTGCTACATGACTCTAATACACCCCCATACTCTGCTCAAGTGTCAGAGTATTAAAGTTTAAGAAAGGTGTTTTGAGCCAGGAGTGGTGGCACACACCTGTTATCCCACTGACTCAGGAGGCTGAGGCAGGAGGATCACAAGTTCAAAGTTAGCCTCCAAATTTTGCAAGATCTTGTCTCAAAAAATAAAAAGGAGCCGGGCCCAGCTGCACACGCCTGTAATCCTATCGGCTCAGGAGGCTGAGACAGAAGAATCAAGAGTTCAAAGCCAGCTCAGCTAAGGCGAGGTGAGGTGCTAAGCAACTCAGTGAGACCCTGTCTCTAAATAAAACAGGGCTGACATGTGGCTCAGTGGTCAAGTGCTCCCCGAGTTCAATCCCCGGAACCAAAAAAATAAACAAATAAAAAGATTAAAAAGGGCTGGGGTGTAGCTCAGTGGCAAAGCACCCTGGGTTCCATCCCAGCCACACAAAACACACACAGAGAGAGCAATCAGGCAAAGGCTTTGGTTGGTGTGTTTTCAAGTGTATTGTGAGAGAAGAAAAGCTCACCAGTGGGAGAGGGAGTGAAGGTTTTCAGTGTTTCTCAGGAGGATTTTGGAAGGGAAGCTCATCCTCACTGCAAGGACCACCCAGCACCTGCCACTCATTTCCCTCAGTCCCCAGACACACAGGGTCTGGTGATCGGACCAGCCCAGCCAGTGCTCAGGTGGCCGCTGGGGCTGGAGCATCGCCAGGTCCCCTGGGCACCCTGTTATCTCTGTGACTGAGGTCCCCTGGGGTGATGGTTACCAGCAGCAGTAGCAGCAGCAGCACCTGAGAATACACTAGAAATGACAATTTGGGGGCCCTGCTCTGGATCTACAGGATTAGAGACACTGGGGCAGGGCCCAGCCACCCTCTTCAATGGCCTTCCAGGGACTAAGATGCGCCCAGTTTGAGATGCTCTTGGTGGTGTGTGTCTGGGGGGGACTGTGAGGTCTCGGGCCTGGGGAGGCATCTCCTCCACCTCCCATCACCCTGCAGGGGCTGGTCTGGGGTCCACAAACAGAGGCGGGCAAGGTGACCAGGCCAGAAAATGAGGCTATGTCAAAGAGCCCTAGGAAGTGTCGTTCCCTCTCAGGGCCTCAGCGCCTGGTCTGTAAAGTGGGGAAGGAAGAAAGAAAGGGACCCAAGTGAAGCCCTTCCCTGGAGTCCACCACCAACACAAGGCGCGTCCTGCACACAGACACCACTCCCTGGGCCGAGCGGCCACAGCCCACTCAGGCTTCTCAGAGGTGTCCTAGAGATCAAGACCACGGGGCCAGAAGATCTTAAAGTCCCTCTGGGACTTCAAACTCCTTCAATTCCATGAACAACACCAGAAATCAATATTCCCGTCAACCATTTAGAGCGACCAACCAGGTTTGCCCAAGCCCACCAGGACACCAAGAGGAAACTGGGGTCCTGCACCGTGGAAGGACGGGTCTGGCCCAGGGTCACCACACTGAAGAGTATCCCCGACTTTCCAGTCTCATCAGAACATATAAACCCCAATTGTGGGCTGGGGTTGTAGCTCAACTGACAGAGCGCTTGCCTAGCATGTGTGAGGCCCTGGGTTCGATCCCCAGCACCACATAAAACTAAACCAACAAAATAAAGGTATTGTATTCATGGACAACTAAAAATGTTTTTTAAAACATAAATAATTTTTTGAAAAAAAAAACAATTGTCTGCGGTTACAAAGGCCCCGATTTCCCCCCAGAGTTAATGAGAGTTGAGTGGCTGTATCCAAGGGGCAGAAATTTAATAGCCTCCAATCAGCAGACACATCTGGCAAGAGCAGGGCCTTCCGTGAAGGCTCCGAGGCAGAAACCCCAGGAAACGTCCGCCGGACCCCACACCCTTCAGAGGTCGGACGGAGATGGCGCAAGCCCTTGGCTGAGACCAGGCCTCGGGTGGTGACAAGATGGTGGTAGAAATCTGGCTGTCGTCATGGTAACGAAGCCACCACGGGGAGCTTTTCCAAAAGGCTGAGTCAAATTTTTTTTTCTCTCCTTTAATGATTTAATTCTGACGAGGCCGTATTGCTAAGCACATTTCATCCACGAACTTGGAAGGATGACAAACAGCCACTTGGACTGCGGCGCGGGGAAGGGTTCACCTTTGATCTGAAGGGTTTCTTGGTTCTGTTTCGGTCTGGGTTTTTCTGGCCACTTTCTCTGGTGACTCTATGGGGCCGGCCCACCAGCAACCCTGGGCTCCCACCCGCCCTCCGGGTAGGTCTGGCCTGGGAGGGATCATCCGGGTGAACCGGGCCGGGGAGGGGCAGGGTACTGACTCTGGGAAACAGCTTGGCCTACAACAGGAAGCAGCACACGTTTCCTGGCTGGTGACACTTCCCCACTTCCCCGAGATCTTCAGAATACGGGAAGTCTCCTGGGTACCAAGAGCCCAGCATGTGATGAGATCCTCCCCAGACCTAACTGGGAGCCACCAGAAACAACCCTGCCCACCCCTGCCCGGCCACGGCAGTTCTGACTTGAGGGGATCCATCCTCCAAGCAGGCCTGGCCTCGGAGCCTTCCTGAGCCGCAGGTATTAACAGCCAAGACTGTCCTTTGTCACATGCAATAAGCACAAGGCACCATTTAAAATGCTTCCCTGGGGTTCCCTCCAGGTCACTTGTCCAAGAGGGCACAGCTGCTGAGTAGCAGGCTGGGAACTGAACCCAGGCAGCTGTGCTGGCTCTGAGGCCCACACTGCCAACCCTGGCACCACAGGACCTCGCCCCAGCAGGGCCTCATCCTTGGCACGGAGCACGAGGACTTGCTAAGTTAGGGCCCAGGGTTGAACAGGTGGCTCTCATTTTGCTTTTGTTTTTGTTTTTCCCCAACAGCTGTGGGGGCAGGGAAGGTCCCACAAGGAGTTGTGGGAACTGGGCGAAGGTGGCACCCATTCTCTAACGACAGTCGCCCAGGAGCACATTCACCTTCGAATCTTCCCACGGTGGCATCAGAACCTGCCGCCTGCTACAAAAGAGGCTGGGGGCTCCAGGGTCACCTCCCCCCCCTTCCCTGTCTCCACCGAGGCCTCCCAGACAGGCCATGCCAGTCACCCTGTCCCCACCCACGCCCAGGGCCTGAGTCAGCACTGGATGCTCTCCTGGGTCTCGGAAATGACACACATTACAGGGAATCTCGCCTCCCTCCAGGGGAAGGGCTGAAGCGCCAAGGCCCAGGCCTCCTGTTTCTGTGGGTGTTAAATTTCCTTAACGACGTCGGCACAAGCCTGCTGGGGCCTGCATGCGAGATAAGTGGGACACGCATGTCCACCACCGCAGCAGGGTTCCCTGGGCAAACTGGAACAACTGGTCATCCTACAGAGTAGAGGCACCAGGTTACAGATGACAAAGACGGGCGGTCAGGAAACTGCTCTCTGGCATTAACAGCCTCCAGAACATAGTTCTGCTCTCCCCAGCAGTGTGACCTTAAGGAAGCGACTCAGCCTCTCTGGGCTGTTCTGTAAGATGGAGATAAGGGCAGAGTCACCAAAGGAGGAGATGAGTTGATTTTGCTCAGCTTTCAGGAGAAGACTGGGCACAAAGTGAGCCCAATCAAGGAACTATCTCAATCATTGCTCCTTCTCTTCCTCCTCTTCCTCCTCCTCCCCACCACCACCCTGCCCCCAAAGCAGAGCATGCCTTCTCCAAAGTGCAAGTTAAATCAACCCCACAAACAGTTCACAGTTATCAAAGACACCAGTCCATGTGGAAGGCGGAATGGGCCAGGACGGATTTCTGCATTTCAATCAGACCATAAAAATGCAGGATTCCCGGGTAACAGCAGCAGAGGAGGTCAGAGGAGGCCACAGCAAGGCTCAGACAGCTCTCAGTGACCACGGCCCTCGGCAAAGCCCGCCCCAAACAGGACCGCCCCAAACAGGACCACCCGCAGCTGCCCTCCCAGAAGCAGCGAGGTGGAGCAGGGCTGATCACTTCCAAAGCAGCTGCCCTCCAGGGACACGGAGCAGGGACCCAAGCAGCCTCCCACTGCAGGAACCTTGGAGCAAATACATCGTTTAAAAAAAAAAAAAGGCCCGGAATTTCCTCCTGGCAGAGAGCAGGAATCAGGGCAAAGGATGGGGGCAGGGAGTGAAACTGTCCTTAGAGCAAAGAAAGTCGAGCCTCGAGGAGCATGTGAGGCCCCACAGCCCTGGGGAGACGCGGCCTCAGAGCCACAGGAACCCATGGGGAGCACGGCGCCCGCCCCGCCTGGGCCTGCCAGGTCAGAGGACAGCGGCCTCCTCCACGGCCCTGGTGGCTCCTCCAGGACACCCTTGGTGACGGGAGCTTCCCACCCAGAACCAGGAGACAGGGTGAAAGGGAAAACAAGGTAGTGGGATAAGAGGGTCACTTCCCCGGCAACTTGGGCACCGCAAGCCACAGCGAGCACAGGAATCAGGGAGGGCGCGCTTACCAGCCATGGAGGAAGCCTGGCTTCTCCGAGGGCCTGGCCTGTCCTTTTCCAAAGACACAGAGGCTTGCTCTGCAGACATTCCTGCTTCCGGCTCCTCGGCAGCCTCTCCCAGGGGGAGGAGGAAGAAGCAGAGGACAGGCTAAGAGTCACCACTTAGCAGGCCAGCCCTGGTCCTGGACACATGAGGTCGCCTGGTGGGGCAAGGACACCATCACCTCTCTGCGACCAGGCCGTCCGGGGCAGAGGCTTGCCTTCATGTCCCTGAGCCTTCGCCTCTGATTTATCACCCTCGACAGCAGCACAGCCAAGCTGCAAGTCCTCGGTGCACTGCACCAAAGGGCCATTTATTCAGGTGAAGGTGAATAAACAGGGAGTCCGAGCTGTTCTGCAGGCCAGGAGTGAGGAGGGGAAGGGGACTGCGGGCAGTGCCTTGTATTTTCAATGTGCTTTCAATTGTCTTAATAATTGCTCAAATTGCCTTTGAGTTCTGATGCGGATTCCTGGAAGGGAGAAGCCCGTCTGGGTGCCGGAGGAGTGACCCTGCCCTGCCCAGCCTCCCCCACCCCCCACACGGGGCAAACTGGGATCAAAGGGCAGTTGGAATGAAGAGGTGGACCTGCTTCTACCCAGGGAAGGGGCTGGTTTCCAAAGGGCTTCTGTTTCCAGCTCAGCAGCCTGAGCGACCTCACTTCTCCTTGGAGCTGGACTGAGGCCCTAGGGGAGGAAGAGGCGAGAGCAGCGGCCAGGGATCTCCTGCTGGAGAACCCGCTCGGTGCAATTTACCAAGAGGCAGAGCCCAACCCGCTCCAGGAAAGCACTGACCCCCCACCCTCAGAGGCCAGGCCTTGAGGCCACTCCAACATGGCACACAGAGGGCGGCCAGCCCCTGGGCAGACCACACAGGGGATGTGGAGGAACCGGTTGCCTCAGGCCGTCCCAAGGCCGTGGCTCTGCTGGCAGAGACCCATCTGCGTGATTCACGCGGCTGCAGGGACTCCGCGCCACCCCCACCGCGCGGCCGGGCTTCTGGGAAGCTCAGGTGCCCCACGCTTTCAAACGGGGCAGTGGGAGCCGTGGCGGCGCGAGGGCCCGCTCAGAACAAAAAGGCGATTCTGCGGCGGCTGCAGCTGAAGCCCAGAAGTGGGTCTGCGAGAAGAAAGGGGAAGAAAGGCGCCTCAGAAAGGAGGAGATGAAGGCCGAGGAGCCGCTGGGAACCGGGCAGCGCTGCGCAGGCCTCTGGAAAGTCCCCTTAATGAAGACAAGAGCATGCTGACCAGGAAGAAGGGACAGCCCTCCAGAGCAAACGCAGGGCGCCCCTCTGGGGAAGGGAGGATTTCAGATGCAGAACATCGCCCACATTTCATGGAGCCGAGGGAGGGAGGGAGGGAGGCTTCCCGTCCCGAGGACACCATTGGGGCGATGCTGAGATGCCCTTCCTACCGCCCACAGGGCAGCTACTGCAGTGTGGCCATGGGAGCCCAAGACAGGACGCACAGCAGTGCCCACCCACGGCGGAGTGGGACACAGAGCATCATGGGTCAGCCACATCGTGGGATGCAGAGATGCATCTGTGTGCTGTCAGGGCACAAAGGCCTCAGAAACCAGGCAGCCACAAGACCTAGGTGCAGGAGGGGCCAGGCACGCTGGGTTTGCCAAGACCTAGGACACTCAGTAAGGGCTGGGCCCCTGAATGCCCCGACACTTTAAGTGGGGGATAGGGACAACAGATTGATGGAGCACTCAGGACACGCCAGGTGCTCCTACCCTGGATCTGTATCCCCAGGATCCAGCATACAGCAGGAACTCAGGGCAGCCCTCCCCCAACCGCACATCCATCCAGGGGCACCTTTACGGGACTCAGATGTTTAAAACAGTGTGGAACAGAGGTCATCAACTGGGTCCCCCCAGGGGACACCCAGCAGCATCGTCTGGAAACCCCATTTTATTGATATGGTAGACAAAGAGAGGGGCTGCTGCTGGCCTGTGGTGGACAGAGACCAGGGACTCAGGCAAACACCCCAGAGGCCGGCCCCAGGACAGACTGATCAGGTCCATAATGTCCACTGTGCTGAGAAGCCTGGGATCAAGGACCTTCCGGTGAGCCTGCAGGAGACCTAACCCTGAGTAAACATGCCACCCGCTGCTGCACCCGGCCTGGCCTGGCCTGGGCCTGGGCTGAGGACACCCAGCGTTTCACCTGCATTTCAAAGGGAAGAAAACAAAGCCAACAGTCACAGATAGTCACTGAGCAACTCCAGATATCCAGGCCACCAGCATCAGGGGAGGGCCTGCCCTCCAGGGAGGAGGGCCAGAAACAAACAGCTGCCCCAGCTGAACACTTACTGGGGGGAGGGCTGGGGGGAGGGGGGGTTCTAAATAAGTATCGACTTACTTCCAACTCACCACGATTTTGCGACAGTAGGTTCTCAGAAACCCCACTTTACTGACACGGTAACTGAGGCCCAGAGGAAAAGAGCCCCATGGTCACATGGCGAGTAAATTCAGAATAACTGATTGCATTCTAGACCAAAAAAAAAAGGTTTAAAAAGAAACATCAGGAATGTGTGATCATGTATGGGAGGAAGGTACAGCAAGGGAAGTACTTCTCTATTTTCTTTTTGTACAGGGCTCATACATTTCTCGGCTACTGCTTGTTGAGAAGCTACTTTAAGAATCCTCCGCCTCCCAGGGTACAGGGAGTGTGGTGGCTCAGGCCTGATCCCAGGAAATCAGGAGGCTCAGGCAGGAGGACTGCAAGTTGGAGGCCAGCCGGGCAACTTAGCAAGACCCTGTCTCAAAATAAGAAGGGCAGGGGTAGGAAACATTCAAGACCCTGGGTTTGATCCCCAGTGCCGGGAAGGAAGGCACAGAGCGAGGGAGGGAGGGAGGGAGGCAGGGTTAGGATGACAGGTCTATAGGGTGCCTGGCACCTAAAAGGTGCTCAGCAAAGGGTGCTCCTGCCCCACCATCACTTCTGCCCGTTCATTCCAACCTTCTTGGCTGCCACTTTCCAGTCCCATGACTATCCAACCACCTGCTTGCCTCAACAAGACCAGGCACATCCTGCTCCAGCCCTCCTCTGAGAGCCTCTTATCAAGACCTACAGCGCCCCCAGCGAGCAGCCCTGCGCCTCTCTGTCCTTCATTCACTCAACTCCAACCTCAGTGGCCCCCTTTCTGCTGCTCAGACAAGCCATTTGCACATGGATGCACCTCCATCTAGAATGTTCTCTGCCATCTTTTCCATACTGGCCAACTTCGGCTTTGAGCTCAAATACCAGCTCCCCAGAGAGGCCTTCCCTGACCACCCTGGCCTCAGCCTCCTCATCGCAGTATCCAGAAGTTGTGGCGTATTTCCTGGGTCGCGGTCCCTCCCTGAGGACTACCAGGTGTGGTGGCACAGCCTGTCATCCCAGCAGCTCGGGAGGCCGAGGCAGGAGGCTTATGAATTCAAAGCCAGTCTCAGCAATTTAGCGAGGCCCAGAGCAACTCAGTGAGACCCCTTCTCTAAGTAAAATACCATAAAGGGCTGGGGATGGGGCTCAGTGGTTCAGCACCCATGGGTCCAATCTCTGGGATCAAAAAGAAATAAATAAGTAAAATAAATGATTCTCCTTCTTTGCCAGTTCCCTGGCTGACTGTGCTCCTCCTGACTGGGACTTCCATCTCGTCATGCTTGTCCTTTGCTGCAGTCCATAGCTGGGCACACAACCTGGCCAGGTGCCCCCAGACACATCTGGATGACGAGGTTAGGACCAGAGGGGCGCCAGCCACCTGGACACTCCAGGTTGTCTTCCCCAGCCTTCAGGAATGTCTTCAGCAAATCCACAAGAGCAGGAATGTGGAGCCAACCGCCCAAAGGGGACCTGAAAACAGGAAATTCCCCTCTCCACAGGCACAGGGCCATTCGGGCCCATTTCCCCCTAAAAGAAAGGGATTAAGTGAGGATTTATACCCTGAATGTGTCAGGGCTGTGCTTTGACTCACCACTGGAAGACCAAGGTAGGGGACTTGGGAGGCTTCCTGGCCCCCCACTTCCCACTCATCCCACCTCTTGGGGAGAGCTATTGTTCCCGAGAATCAGGGGCAGTAAAAAAAGAGAAGTGACTTTCCCCGGGGAAAACACACTCCCTGCCAGGAGGCAGCCGGGCACCGGAGGCCCCAGCCTCCCTGCCCTTTGTCTTAGGGGCCTTTTAGGTCTGAAGCTCTCTGTGGGGACACCTCCCCGGGTCCTCAGCCACCGGGATTCTCAGTTCTGCACCTGCACGGTGAAGCCTCCTGCAGCCAGGACAAGGCCAAAGTGGCCTTTCAAGCCTGTCACCCCATCCCGCCCCCCACCCCCGCAGGAGTGAGAGGAGTCCACCTCCTTTCTGCCTCCGCTGGGCCTCCTCAGCCTCCGCTAGGCCTCCTCAGCCTGGCAGCCTGGCGAAGCGTCTGCGGCCCCCAGACTTGGTCCAGATTTCACAGATGCCCACCTACCCTACCACACAGTCCCTCGCTCTTCACAGGGATTGAACTATTTCTGGCCCCACAAAAATAGCCACCTGGTTTGAAAGATGGTCCCCAAAGACTGAAGTGCCACGAAGGGAATTAGGCTCACTGGGGGGGGGGGGGGGAGGTGACAAACCAGGTCAGCCTGGTGAGGAAGGAAGAGCCCCACCAGGGTAACAAGGGAACCAGTGATCCAGGAGGGCCCCACTGGCACTCAGGCCAGGGGAACCCCCAGCCAGGCCTGGGGTGGTGGCCAACAGAAGCCCCCACAGCAGGACATTACTATTCTAAATTTTTAAATGGGCAGCTGGGCACAGTGGCACAGGCCTGTGACCCCAGAGACTCAGGCGCTGACGGAGGCCGGCCTCGACATCTTGGCAAGACCCTCAGCAACTTATTGAGACAAAAAGGGTTGGGGACCTGGCTCAGCAGTCAGGCACCCCTGGGTTAGACCCCCCAGTACCCAAAATAATTAATTAATTGATTTGATTTTTAAAAATTGGCAGAAACTAGGGCTAGGGGTGCAGCTCAGTGGTACAACACCAGCCTAGCAAGTGCTGCGAGACCCCAGGGTTCAATCCTCAGCACCACAAAAGAAAACGAGAAAGAAAGAAAAGTAGAACCTAAATTTTAAAAACCAGATGTGAAG